CACAGAGGCACGAGGGTGGGTAACAAGAGAGGCGAGAACACGAGAGAGAACAGGACGGTACGTGCGGTAGTAGTCAGTGACAGGAGAAGGAAGCGACACAGTGAGGGCCGACTCAGGAGGAGACGGAAGCACAGACGGAGACGGACGAGGTGGACGAGAACAAAGGAAGGCTGTACGAAGGTCAGTGAAGGGAACAGGAGACGAGGGACGAGCACGAGGGGAGCGACGAGAGGCCCAAGTCTGAGAAGGAGGAGGAGACAACGAAGACTGAGAACGAGGGAAAACAGCGGGAGAGGGGTCAGGAGGAGGAAGCGGAGGACCAGAGACGGGAGGAGAGGGGGAGGAGGAAGGAGAGGGAGAGGGGAGATCCGAGACAGGAGGAGGAGACGGCAGCAGCTGCTGCTGCTGCTGCTGCGGCTGCTGCGGCTGCTGCTGCTCCAGCGGCTGCTGCCCCTGCTGCTGCTCCTGCTGCTGCTCCTGCTGCTGCTCCTGCTGCTGTCGCTCCTGCTCCTCGAGCCGCTGCAACTCTCTCTCCTCTCTCTCCAACTCCAGCTGCTCCTCACGAGCACGGCGAACACGAGCCTGGAACCTGGTCGGGTAGGGGTGGGGGGAAGGAGTAGTGTCCGGGGCAGCGGCAGCCCCAGAGTCGACCTCCGAAGCACCAAGCACACCACCCCCAGAGGCAGCACCAACACCAGCTCCAGACCCAGGCTCTCCAGAAACCGAAGGGACACCCTCACCCCCAGACGCAGCACCCCCAGACTCCGCACCAGCACCCCCAGACTCCGCACGACCAGTACCAGCCCCCGGAAGACAAGAGTCCTCTGCAACCCGCGGCTCAGCTCCAACTCCAGCACCCCCAGAACCAGAGACCTGTACAGGGACAGTCGCAGGACCAACCTCCCGAGAGGGAGCACCTGCAGGAGGCGGCGAGGAAGACTGTGGGGAGGGAGGCTGTACAGGGGGGGCTACCGAAGGGGGAGGGCTAGCCTGAGACACACCAGACGGGGCTGGACCAGGGGGGGGAGGCTGTACCGGGGGAGCAGGCGGGGGAGCGGCGGTCAGGAAGAGAGGGGGGGGAGGGACCGGGAGACCTCGACTGGGGTACCTGACGTAGTAGGGGGTGGACTCCTCGAAACGGACGTCACGGGAGTCAAAGAACCGGTGAGAGGGAGGGTGGTAAAAGGTGAAGTCAGAGGAGTCCTCAGGGAAACCAAGGAGACAGCTGACACGACGACCACGAGTGTCCTGGGTGGTAAGCAACCACCTGATCAGCGTAGAAGTCACCTCAGACTTCCTCGCCAAGGGGAACACTGTGGTGTAGCGGGAGTAGTCGTCAACGACCACCAAAAAGAAACGCTCACGCTCAGGGCCAGGGCGAGGAGAGGGGCCCCAGACGTCCAAGTGCAGCGTCTCAAAAGGCTCGGTGGCCGGACGAAGGGAGGAGGAGTGAGGGGTGGCGCGCAGCCTACCCTCGACGCAAGGACCGCACGGTGGTGCAAGGGACGGCGGCAGCGACGGCAAGACACGCGGGAGACCTAAGACAAGACGCTGACGAGACATAGCGCGAAGACGAGGAGGAGAAGGGTGCCCCAGCCGGTGGTGCCACAAAACGGTGGGGTGGGCAAGCGACCGACAGGAGCACGACGCAGCGACCGGACTAGACGGAGGAACCTGACAAGACACAGCTACCTGGGGGGACGGAGCAACCTGGTGAGACGCGAGGACTCGAACGGGGGGCAAAACAGGGGCCGGGGGCAGGAGGGGCGGCTGTGGCTGCGGCTGCGGCTGCTGCTGCTGCGGCTGCGGCTGCTGCTGCTGCTGCTGCTGCTGCTGCAGTCGCTGCTGAGCGCGCGGGCCAGTGTGAAGAGTGTAGAGACCGGAGCCCGGCTCAGCAGCAAAAGTGGCGAGGGGCTGGTAAGAGTCCCCGTCAACACACACCGCAGTCTCTCCAGAAGGCTCAAACCACACACCCACGTGCTGACTCACGAGGGGTCGCACGCCCACCAAGTTCCGGGAGAACGAGGGGACGTGAAACCCAGTGAGAGACCCAGAAGGAGCAGCCGGACATGGCAAGGTGGTAGTGTGACGCGCGGTGACTGGTCCCGAAGTGGGATCAGCCAGCGCCACAGAAACAGGCGCAGGAAGAGGCGTAAGTGTCGTGCTGTCACGAAAGAAGCAGTGAGAGGCTCCAGAGTCCAGCGTGAACGACAGCGAACCGTCCTCTGAGGTAGCCGCTGGACTAGAGTCTACACAAGAACCTACACTAGCAACAGGCAACTGAGCAAGGCTAGCACCTAAGCTAACAACACCAGAGTAAACAGAGTCAGAAACACTAGAGTCAACAACAGCATACATAGCATGGGGACTACCAATCAGATCAACTAACTGCTCAGCAGACATGCCCCACAGAGCGGAGCCGTAACGCTGAACAAGAGGCAGCCAGTCAGGGGCAGGAGCACCAACCCCGTAGACCAAACGAACCGTGTCAGTGAGCTGAGCAAAGCACTGACCAGGGGGGTGAAACCGGCCACAAGGGTGGCCACGACGAGTGCCTGTCAGAACCTGGTAGGTGCAGGGAGTGTAAGCAGCACCGCGCTGGGTCTGACGCAGCCCCGACCCTGGAGCCAGCTGCTGCCGCTGCTGCTGCTGAGGCTGCTGGGAGGAGAGGGGCTGCTGGTGCTGCAGAAGCTGCTGCTGACGCTGAGCCTGGTACCACGCCGCTGCTCCACCAACCGGGGCAGGAAGTACAGGAGGCGACTGACGAACTCGGGCGTCGCCACCACCAGCAGGCGCAGTGGAGTCACCAGTCACTGCACGAGGCGCCTCTCCAGGCCCTGAACCTCCACCGCCGCCAGGCGCAACGCCACCTCCACTACCTCCGCCTCCACCTCCACTACCACCACCAGAACCGCCTTTCTTGCCACTCCTACCGCGGGACCGCGACGCAGTCGTAACAGCAGCTGCAGTCGCGTCAGTAGCGGCAGTGGCAAGTGAGGCAGTAAAGGTGGGTAACTGCGGGACTGTGCACCCGTGGAAGAGTGGGGGGGGCACAGCACCAGAGGCAGCGGCTACCGAGCGAAGGTTGCTCTCGACGTCCTTGAGTGCAGACTCAAGGACCTCGACGGTGAGCTCACTAGGGTGCTTCAGCAGAAGCGCGTCGCGAACGGAGGCAAGGCGGTCAGGGAGGCTAGTGGCGATGAAATAGATAGTAATCGCCATAGGGGGAGGAAGCAGTGCAAGCTGTGCCTCAGTGCAAGCAGCGCGGTAACTAGCGTCGAGCGAGCGGAGGTGAGCGATCAAGTCAGCAGAGCGCTCAAAAGACGCTAGGTCAGGAAACAGGAACGGGAGGAACAGGCGGCCAAGAGAGACAGCAGCGGGAGTAGAGTAGCGGGCCTTAATCGCAGTGAGGTACTCAGCAGCGGTGCGAACCTGAGTGAAGTGAACCTCCTCAGACTCAGGGAGGAGGCTGCTGAGCGCGATGCAGGCCGCAGCGTCACGTGACGTCCAAGCCGTCTGGTCAGCTCGCTGAGTGGCAAAGCGGGCTCTAGCGGCGTCGTCAGGGGCAGGTCCTAAAGGCGTAGGGTCGGGGGGCGCAGGTAGGGCACCAGTAGCGTGCGCCCAGAGGGTCTCGCCTGCCTGGACCTGACTCTCTAACAGACGGCGAGCACGAAGAAGCCAGACGGAAAAATCAAGAGGTCTACCGTCAGCGTCGAAACGAAGGACACGCTGAGTCGCCATAGTGAAAACGAACGCGAACGGAGAGGGAGGGGACAGCAGTAGGTGAGAGGCAAATTAGGGTTCGGCGGTACTCTGGGACAGGGGAGGAGCGGACGCCACAGCGGGCGTGACAGCGGGAGGTAACAGGGGACTAAGCAGCGGGGAACGGGAACGGGCGCAGCGGCGGGCGATGGCAGCGCGCTCGGCAGCAGGGGCCAGCAGCGCGCGCAGCGGGCGACGGCAGGGGGCGCAGCGGCGACGCGCGCAGCGGCGGGCGACGACGGCGGGGCCGCGGCGAGGCGCGCAGGGGGCGGGCGACGGCGGCAGGCGCGGCGGCGACGAGCGCGGTCGCGAGCGACAGTGGCGGGCGCTGCGGGGACGGGCGACGCGACGGGGGGAGAGGGCGGGAGCGACGGGAAAGGGGGAGGGCGACGCGACGGGGGGAAAGGGGCGGGTGCGACGGGTAGGGGGAGGGCGACGCGACGGGGGGAAGGGGCGGGCGCGACGGGACAGGGGGAGGGCGACGCGACGGGGGGAAAGGGGGGGCGCGACGTGACAGGGGGAAGGCGACGCGACGGGGGGAAGGAGCGGACGCGACGCGACGGGGGGAGCGCGACGCGACAGGGGGAAAGGGACGGGCGCGTCTCGAGGGGGGGGAAGGCGACGCGACGGGGGGGCGGGCTACGCTACGAACGAGAGCGTGGGTCGTTGCTAGGCTCGGTAACAGCTGGAACGATACGAACGAGAGCGTGGCTCGGCGCTAGGCTCGGTAACAACGAGAAGGAGACGAACGAGAGCTAGGATCAGGCTCGGGTGGTACGAACGGAGAACGGCGGAACGGGATCCCACAGGATCCTAACCTAACTGATACCATGTCAGAATGAAGAATGGATGATGCATTGATGTTGGTTGGGGTACATATAGCTAACCCTAAGTTTTGTACCCCCTAAGACAAACCTCACTATAGGCTACAACATTTGACAGGTACCAGCATCAGCAGCACCCGCAGCACCACCAGCACGAGAGGCAGCAGCAGACCGAGAGGCAGCAGCAGACCGAGAGGCAGCAGCAGCAGCAGAGAAAATCCGTTTCAAGCCACGGTCAGCCTGAGCACAAATGCATCATCTAGACGGTCGTTGCTCTCTGAGTCGCCTCCATACACCCGTTATCAGCAGACCCACTAGCAGCAGCAGCAGCAACAGCAGCAATCCCGGCAGCAGCAGCAGCAGGAACAGCAACAGCAAGAGCACCAGTGGCACCGGCAGGGCACATATTCTGTCTCAAGCCACGGTCAGCCTGAGCACAAACACATCATCCAAACGGTCGTTGCTCTCTGAGTTGCCTCCATACACCACCATACCAGCAGCCAGCTTAGCAGCACCATCAGCAGAAGAAGCAGCACCCAAAGGAGCAACAGGGAACCAGCCACGCGCTCCCGGGTCCCCGCCAGAAGAGACGAGCGACACCGGCCGAAGCCACTTCCTTTCCTCCACGTCCAATAGGAAGAGATCTTTGGAGAATTTCCCTGCCCCCAAATGGCCTAGATCTGATGGGTCCACCTCACCACCATACACCACTATGTACTCCTTACAAGCAGACTCGGTAGCAGCAGGGAGAGAGACGGTCACTGCGCCAAAAACACTCCGCGGAATGGGCTTGATTACATCCCCATTATCAGCCGCATCTGCACCAGCAGTAGCGGCGGGAAATTCCACCTCCTCCCAAGTCTCCTTCCCTAGATCAAACCTATGCACGTCCCCAAGCTCGTGCTTCCCGGAAAATCCAAACAGCACCCACACTGCGTCCCCTGCCACTGCCAGCCCAGGCCCACCCCGGGGCACACAGGCACTGGAAGGGGGAGGGGAGGGCAGCTGCCGCCATGTGTTGGTGTGACTGGGAGCGACAGGGTAGGCCCAGAGGTCGTTGAATCGGCCGGTGGTGCCACAGCCGCCGAAGATGTAGATTTGGGAGCGATGGGGGTCTGCTGCCATGGTGTGGTAGCTCCTGGGGGGGGGAACGGGGGGGGAGGGTGGGAGGGTGACATGATGTGAAAATGAGTGCCACAGCAACCGAAGATGTAGATGTGGCTGCGATGGGGATCTGCTGCCATGGTGTGGTAGCTCATGGGGGAGAGGGATGAGTGGGGTGGGAGGTTGAATGTTGTGAGTGAGAGAGGTGGGTAATGACTGAGGGAGTGAGTGAGAGAGGGAGTGTGTAGCCAGCTCGTTCTTATCACCCCACCCACCTCACCCACCTCTCTCCCCACACCCTCCCCTCCCAAACCCCCTCCAGCACTCACCTGCCAGGAGGGGACTTTTCTTCTACCCAGTGGTCAGCAGCCCCCACTCCCCCGTGACTCTCTTACTCAACCCTCTCCCGCATGCTACCCTCCCCCCGCATGCTACCCTCTCCCCGCATGCTACCCTCCCCCCGCATGCTACCCTCCCCCTGCATGCTACCCTCCCCCCGCATGCTACCCTCCCCCACGCACATGAATATCCTCCCTTTCAGCTCTCACCTGCCAGGGGGGGACTTCTCCCCAGTGGTCAGCAGCCTCCACTCCCCCGTGACTGTATCGAAGGAGTAAAAGTCGCTCAGCTCGTTCTTATCACCGTCTCTCCCGCCGAACACATACAGGGTCGAACCCAGTGCTACAATCGTGATGCCGATGCGAGGGGCTGGTGGGGTGAGAGGGTTCAGGGGGAAGGGGGGTTTGGAGTATTTAATAGATGAGGAATACAAGACTCTCAGCTCGTTCTTATCACCATCTCGTCTCGTCTCTCCCCCCAAACACGTACAGGGTGGACCCCAGAGCCACCATCGTGACGTCATCACACATGGTCGGAAGGGCAGCAGCATGTTTCGGCAAGGCAAAAGGACCCGTCAAGCCTTCATCAAGGCGGTCTCTCCCCCCAAACACGTACAGGGTGGATCCCAGAGCCACCATCGTGATGCCAACGCGAGGGGCTGGTGGGGGGAAGAGATCAGGGGCATAGGGGGACTAGAGAGATCAGGGGCATAGGGGGACTAGAGAGATCAGGGGCATAGGGGGACTAGAGAGATCAGGGGCATAGGGGGACTAGAGAGATCAGGGGCATAGGGGGACTAGAGAGATCAGGGGCATAGGGGGACTAGAGAGATCAGGGGCATAGGGGGACTAGAGAGATCAGGGGCATAGGGGGACTAGAGAGATCAGGGGCATAGGGGGACTAGAGAGATCAGGGGCATAGGGGGACTAGAGAGATCAGGGGCATAGGGGGACTAGAGAGATCAGGGGCATAGGGGGACTAGAGAGATCAGGGGCATAGGGGGACTAGAGAGATCAGGGGCATAGGGGGACTAGAGAGATCAGGGGCATAGGGGGACTAGAGAGATCAGGGGCATAGGGGGACTAGAGAGATCAGGGGCATAGGGGGACTAGAGAGATCAGGGGCATAGGGGGACTAGAGAGATCAGGGGCATAGGGGGACTAGAGAGATCAGGGGCATAGGGGGACTAGAGAGATCAGGGGCATAGGGGGACTAGAGAGATCAGGGGCATAGGGGGACTAGAGAGATCAGGGGCATAGGGGGACTAGAGAGATCAGGGGCATAGGGGGACTAGAGAGATCAGGGGCATAGGGGGACTAGAGAGTTTAGATGGGATGTGGAAAAGGGGGAGGTTGTGCTTGTACTTGTCAGCGTCGCGCCCATCAAACACGTTTATGTACAGTAAAACCGCACAGACACACAGGTGCATCACATCACCGTACGCACATGGGATGGGATGTAACCAGAAGCAGCAGCGACGGTCCACTCCCGAATGCTCAGATGCATCACATGCATGTCGCCGATGGATGGGCACTCGTGGTTCAACCTCCCAAGGTGATGCCAGAACTATACAAGCAGACACACAGATGCATCACATCACCATACGCACATGGGATGTCACCAGAAGCTGGAGCAATGGACCACTCCCGAGTGCTCAGATCCATCACATGCATGTTGTTGCCGATCGATGGGCACTCGCGGCTCAAACTCCCAGACAGAGAAGGAGACACCCATACATCACCGTACGCACATGGGATGTCACCAGAAGCAGCAGCGATGGACCACTCCCGGGTGCTCAGGTCCATCACATGCATGTTGTTGCTGATCGCTTTTGAGAATTCTCAAAAGTGATTCCATCACATGCACGTCTTTGCCGATGGGCACTCGTGGCTCAAACTCCCCTCTGAAGGCATGAGTCGAAGGACAGATGCCGGCATTGCAAGGACAGGCACATGCATGCATCAGCGTACGTACATGGGATGTCACCAGATGCTTCAGCAATAGTCCATTCTCGGGTGGTGAGGTCCATCACATGCACGTCGTTGCCGATTGGCACTCGCGGCTCAAACTCCCCCCCAAATACAAACATCTTGTTCCCGACGACCGCTATGGCGTGCGAGCTGCGCGCTTTGGGCTCTCCCTCGCGCTGTGTGATCTGTGGGGTGTTGGGTGATGTTGGGTGACGTTGGGGGTTGAAATGAGATGGGAGGTTAACACTTCTCCCCCTTTGGCCCGAATACAAACAACTTGTTCCCCGCCACCGCTATGGCGTGCGAGCTGCGCGGTTTAGGGGCTCCTTCGCGCTGTGTTATCTGCATGTACAGAGCGAGGTTTGCGAGAGACCTCACGAGCATACAGAGTGGGTCAGGAAGAAAAAGGACGTTGTTGCGGAAAATGAAACGATCGCAGCGCTCAAAACTGACTGTGCGAAGTATCAAACTGATAACAGGAAAAATGTCTATCCGACTGGGTAGCTATGCTCGCGGCTCGAGACTACCACTAATCGGTGTATTATTGCAAAAGCGAAAACTTTTGTTTCCCGCAATGCAATGCTATGTCTAACAGACTGCACGTTGCTTGGGCAGTGCAACGTCCAGTGTAAGGGATGGCAGTTTCCTCACCTCCTGCCACGATGCCTCGATTCGAGCCATGGAGGATGCAGCAAAGCTGAATGAAGAGGCTGATCGGCTCTTGCTTCAGACGCAACTTTAAGGAGCGTATACCCGAGCGGTTTCCGCGTTCTAGTAAAAATGGGCACACGTCACTGCATCGTACTCTCTTGAAGAGCTCCTACCAGCCTGATCAAATATCTAGTGGGTGATGTGAAAGTTGACTGGGAGGGACAATCCTGAGAAAAAGGAATCCGTTTGGGGGGGAGGCAAAATCCACGCTTGCTGTGCCAGCTTGGCTGAAATGCTGAAGCAGGAAGGTGAATTCGCGATTGTTCGCTTCTCACCCGTGTCGCGATGGTCGGTGGGCGAGGCGAGATGAGGCGAACAAATACAGCCAGAACAAAAACAATTTTCCAGCTAATCCTCGTTATAGGGCTGTTATCTGGGTATTCTGGTATTCACATATGTACGCTGAAAGTTGTTTTCTATAACCGTCTAGAAAAGACTCAATACCGCATCTTCCTCTGTAGCATATTGGGGGAAGCATCCATAACTACCATAACACTTCTAAGGTCACCACCAGTAAGGTGATGCACCTGCTGAATACAAAGAGTGAAGTAGTAGAACCTCCTGGTCTTGAATAAACTGGGTGCCCTGACAATTCCCTCCTCCCCTCAGTTATTCCCACTTCCTGCATAGGCCCATGTTCCTTTCTCCCACTGCACTCCCATCCTGGGCAGGAAAAAAACCCTTGTGCTGGAGCAGGAGTGGTGGCAGCAGCTTGTGCGCAGACTGTGTGTTTGGCAGGACTACAGAAGACTTACAGTGGAATGTAGCATCATGACATTACTGTCAATTTAGGTTTACATAACAAAGCAAAATGGAAACAGAAAGGGTTGTCTAATAGGTCTCCACGTTCCACTGCTCGTTCTTCTTCAATTGCTTCTTGTACTCTAGCCAGTTGATGCCTGCACACAAGTCAAACGACAGTGAGAAAGGACACAGGACCAGCCTAATCTGCCATTTCGAATAGACAGAACAGAAAACAAAAAATAATGTTGATAAGGTAACTTACCATCCTTCTCTGCCAGGGAGGTCATGATCTCATCAATACCCTTCTCCATGCCCTTGAGTCCGCACATGTAGGTGTAGGTGTTATCCTTCTTGAACAGGCTCCACAACTCGTTGGCGTACTCAGCCATGCGCGTCTGAATGTACATCTTCTCGCCCTTGGCGTTGGTCTGCTCGCGGCTGACAGCGAAGTCCAGGCGGAAGTTCTTGGGGAACTTCTCCTTCATCTTCTCAAACTCCTGTAGAAAGACCCGAGGTGCAATGTCAGTAAACCTCTTATTGGCTGACTCTTACAGGAAGCCAATGGCAGCAGGCAACGCAAAGCTGGAATTTTTTTTCTTACCTCGCGGTAGAGAAGCGAGCTGCTGGTTGGCACACCAAGGAACAGCCAGGCGAGACCGGTGAACTGCACATAAAGCAAAACCGTGTCAGATTCACGGTCAGACCCTTCCGTTTGAACCCTATTCGCGGCTGCATCAGAAACTATGGCGATGTTTCCCTGTTCTGAAATGATTTCGAGGAAACCCATCCTAGTGGTTCGTGTAACTTTACCTTGTAGTCGTCGTGCTTCTCGAAGAACATGCGCCACAAGAAGCTGCGGAAGGGAGCAATGCCAGTACCAGTGCCAAGCTGCGAGGTACGGGAACAAATATCAACAGAAAACACAGAACAAGACTTTGAATGTGCCGGGGATTCAGCAAATGGCGGCAAATGAACGCGTGTCAATACACTAAAAGGCTACAGTAGCTCACTAACAGTAACGGTGACAACGAACCAAAACGTACCATAATGATGGTGGCGTTCTGGTCAATGGGCATGAGCATCTCCTTGCCGACCGGGCCAGTGATCTTAACCTCATCCCCGGGCTTCAGGTCGCCTGCCATTCAGAAGAAAAACATTTATCAGATTCGCAACAGTCAGCTTCACGAACTGGCTACAGGTCTAATGACCATTTCTGAATCGGACGCTTACAGATTGGAAAATAACGCGCGATAAGACGGGAAGTCGAGAATGCTGAAACACATGAGATCGCATGTATGCAACGTACACAGGAAGTTTGAGCAGACACCCTTGACAGTCTCGCCCTTGTCGTTGACGTACACGAGGCGCTTCACGCACAGGGACACCTGAAAATAGTTTGCAGGGAAGAAGATGCAAAACTTTGGATATAATGCACTCCCGTCCCTAGGTACAACAGCAAAGCACTTCCCAAAACAGGATATATCGAAGGAATTTGCAATGACATACCGTCTTGTAGTCACCGAAGTCACCGGGAGCACTGCTGGCAATGGAGTAGAGGCGGAGCTTCTCGGGGTTGCCCCTCTTGTCAAGGCCAGGGGGGACAACGCCGATGGATTGACCTTCTCTGTAGGGAATCTTGCCTGCACAAAAGAACATTTAAATTCGAGAGGAGCACCACAGATAGCTTCAGAACATGAGCAGTTGATGTTGCACTTCCGAGCGGAATCAGAGGGTCTACATTAGGAACAAAATACTATCGCATTAACGGCTCGAGGTTGGTGTAATGGGGACGCGCTAACGCGGACGTACCCTCAGTGCTGAACACCATGTGCCAGGTCTCGCCGGGAGCGTCATCGCCAACAATCTTAGTGTTGAGCAGGCACCGGCCAATGTACGGCGTCTTGGGCTTGAACAGGTTGACCTGCACACCCTCCTCGTTCTTGCGGTGCTCCTTCTTCTTGGGAGCAGCGGCAGCAACGCTGGCGCGCACGGCGGTCTTAGCGGGCTGAGCCACGCGGACAACCGGCTTGCTCTCCAGGGAGGAAACGAGGGAGCTGCCGCTGAGGAAGCTGACCTGGTTGGCCTTCTTGCTGACGGCTCCCTGAGCCGACAGCCCGACGGCGGGAGTTGCGATCGACATGGAGGTCATGGTGGCCATTGTGGTCAAAGAGGCACTTGAGTGCAAGTAACCTCGAGAATGGCAACAATGGAAATGGTCAATCAGTCACAAATTGACCTGAAAATGGGGTATTTGATGAGGCTCAATGGAGGGTCTCAGACTGAACCAAGCAGGTGGGCTTGGTGATTCCTGATATGGTGGTAAGGGCGCGTCACTTCCCCCCGCATTTGCGATTTTGGCTTTTGGCCGCTATTTTGTCGACCATTTTGGTCGACATTTCTTTCGCTAAAAGCGCCCAAATGGTCGACTTCATGACGACGCGGAGTCGGCCTGCTTTTGCAACAATTGCAAAATTGACAGGTTTGCTGGCCGATTTGCAGGCCGCAATACAGAAACTGTAAAATTTGCAGTCACCCAACTGACCCGGCTCGTACGACGGGATCGCACACCTGAACTCTGTACACGTGCCTCACGTTCAGTCGCTGGTAGCTGTGTGCGACGTGCCAGATCTCTGTCGCACCGACACGTCGGAATCGAGGCCGGTTTGCAGTCGACTCGGCGTCGTTTCCGAGTCGTCTCCTCAAAACGGCCATTAAATCGGCCATCGAATTCGCGTACCTCGCCAAATGTCTTGCGAGCTTCGCAAACTGGTTACTGTCGCCAAACCGGCCCGACGGATTTCCCAAATCTTGAATGTCACAAGAAATGACGCGCCCTAAGTCCCCTCTGTGTGATGTCTCTGTGGGGCTGGTTACAGTAGAGCCAGGGAATGTGAGTGAGTTGAGGGGCTAGAGATTCACGGGTGGTTTGGATAGAATGGCCTAGCAGGCTCGGAAGGTTCAGCCCGACAGCTGGGCTGAAAACAAGACCACACAGGCAGGCTCGGGGTTCGGGTGCGGTCTGCGGGCTGGTTTGAACTGTTCGTCTGTTGGCCTGGGGATTGACGGGGTTTGGTTTGGGTATGACTTGATACGCCACGCTGGACTTCTTTCCGAAGCTCTCGGATGATCGGAGCCGTTCAAGTTATGTATTCCCAGATGGGGGCTCATCTGTGGTGGTGGATGAGGCATGCCCGCAGGCTCGATGGACTAAGCTGTCCGCGCGTACACCGCAAATAATCCACGGGAGATTGAACCACATCCACGTGGCAAAGCAAGTAAGCGATCCAGCCACAACCGACCTGCAAACGTGGCGGTCGACTCCTCAGCCACTCGCGTCCCACAAACGAGGTAACCAGATCTCTTCGGCAAAGTGGCACATGCTGGGTGTAAAATCTGCGAAATCACAGGTATACCCGATGTGAACAGGTGGCACAAACTGCGTAGGCTGGAGCCTCACTGAAACTACAACGACCTTTATTTAGTTCCACTGGCATTATACATGTTCATAGGTTCTTGTACTGCTCTATCAGTTTCGAGGCATGGAGTTTGGAAGAGGGTTCAACAGTACATCCAAGCTGCTTCAGGTATGTCAACTGCAAATGGAAAGAAAGTGACGCACACAAAAAAATAAATAGGCTTCGAAGGACGACTCACGAATGCATCCATGTAAAAAACCAAATGCAGACAAACCCCACTGACCTGTTTTGGTGTTGCTGCTGATCTATTCATAGCCTTTTCCGAATACTGCTGCTGAAACATTTCCTGCAGGGGAAACAACGTAATCCGATAAAACTCATGACGATGAAATTTAGTTAACCATGTTAGCGTGACGATTTTGAACATTCCACATAACCATCCAACGCACAACCAGAACCTCTACGACCACCCACCTGTCGCTCCACCCGGTGTAATGCTCTCTGCTCGAACGGAAGCTGCTCCCATGCTATCACCTGGCAGCGGAAAAAACAGCAAACACAGAACAAGTGTCACGTGTGCTCAAATGGAATAGGCTTGCGAAAGGCAAGCGAAGATGAGAGAGAGTGGTGACCATTAACTCAGTGAGAAAAAACTTTAACACAATTACAGTGAGCGAGTGAGATTTTTTTATTTATTTGTTTCTTTACTTCCTTCCTTTTGTTTGAAAAATGCCTCACATGAGCTGCGAAGGAAGCAGCTTGCGTGGACGACAAGAGTGGTCGCAGCAATCGTAATGCTTCCTTGCCACCGGCTGATCTCGCTGCTCCACTGCTCTGCCTGCTATCCACCACTGCCCTCACCTGTTCACACTCAGAAGCATGTTGGGAAGGAGGAAATGGGAGGGAGGGAGGGAGAGGCTTGGTCAGCGGAAGTGTGTTTTGAGGTGACTCCAGTTCCCTGCTATGCACCAATGCCCACGCCAACAACGGCCACCTTCCCATATCCCCAATCCACACCTTAGCGAGAAGACGTGATGGCTGCTGAAAGGCAGGGCGGCGCGCCCACGAGTGGAAGATTGCTGCTATGCTCGCACGGTGCTCTGTGGGGAAGCTGAGGGTAGTGGGGGGTGGGGAAGAGAATGATAGGTAGCATAGGGAGGAAAGCAGAGGTAGAGAAGCTGAGGTGGCGAAACAGTGAGAGGTGGGGTGCTGCTGAAAGCCAGGGCAGCAGGCCCAGAAATGGAAGATTGCTGCTATGCTCGCACAGAGTTAAGTGGGGAAGCTGGGGTGGGGGGCGGGGGAAAGGAAGACGGGTTGAATTGAGATTGAAAGGTGATGCTAGAAGATGGATGCCATGCTTGCTCCCTTCCCTTCTCGGCGACTTTTGAGTCGACTCAAAAGTCACCTCGTTACAATGGCACACGACACTTTGAATTGAAAGGTGATGCTAGATGACGGATGCCATGCTTGCTCCCTTCCCTTCTCGGCGGGTAAGCTGGAGTAGGCAGTAAAAGGGCCGCGCGAGGAGGAAGAGAGGAAGTAACTGAGGAAGAGAGGAAGTAACTGAGGAAGAGAGGAAGTAACTGAGGAAGAGAGGAAGTAACTGAGGAAGGGAGGAAGTAACTGAGGAAGAGAGGAAGTAACTGAGGAAGAGAGGAAGTAACTGAGGAAGAGAGGAAGTAACTGAGGAAGAGGCCCTACCTCTCACGGAAATCGCCAGTGGGATGGAAGAGTTCCCTCACTTGATGTGATGAGCGGATGAGATGCGACACATCAATCCCCACAACACATAGCGTCAATACGCTCGACGCATCGATTCCCACAACATGGGCTTTACCTCTTGAGGAAATCGCCAGTTGGCAACACTCCCTCGCTCACTGCCTCCTCCTCCCCACCCACACCCTTCATCCCTTCCCCTTCCCCTCCCACCCCTTCCCCCTCCTCTTCATCCTCCTCCTCTTCCTGCAACTCCTCCCCGTCCCCTCCTCCTCCATTACCCCCCGCCAAGCCCTCACGTGCTGTAACGCCTTCCCTCACACCAAGTTCTACCCCATGACCAGGATTGAGAGTTGCAACCCCTGCCCCCCACTGCTCCTTCGCTCCGCCAGGGTGTGATGCAGCAGGGGTGTGAGGTTGGGCAGAGGCAGGAGTGGCAACTCGGGCTGTGGTGGGTGTATGCGGTGCAGCAGCATGTGCGGACGCACAGGGGTTGGCTTTGATGGGTGTACTGCCTTGCCAGAGCAGCAGATCCGCAGGGATTTCCCGGATAGAGAGGGCTGGAGAACCTGGTAGGGTGTATATGGGGAGGGGAGGGTAGAAGAGGCGAGATGAGAGGAGGGGCGAGGGGAGAGGAAAGAGGAGAGGAACGGGGGTAGGACGTGGAAAGAGAGGATGGGAACGAGGTTTGAATCCATGAAAGGGGCTGGAGAACCTGGTGGTGTGCTGATGGGGAGGTGAGGGGAGAAGAAGCGATATGAAGGAGAGAGAAGAGGAGAAAGGAAAGGAGAGAGAGGACGGGGGCGAGAAAAGAAAAGACCAATCTCGGTTGTCTCACCTGCTTCTCAGGTGTCTGTCTGAGTGTCACAATGACCAATCGGTGGCGAGCACGTGTCATAGCCACATAGAACAGCCGCCTCTCCTCCTGTTGCCGGGTAGAGAAGTGAGGAAGCACACAATCAAACACTCAAAGGAGATATGACACAGAAATGAAAGCTGACTTCAAAGTTCGACTCAAAAAGCGACACAGAAAAAGAGGTACGACACAGGAGTGATAGAGGTCGTCGTGACGAAGAAACAAAGAAAAAACTACTCCGAACCCCTCTAGCAAAAAGCGAGTGATAGAGGTCATCGTGACGAAGAAACAAAGAAAGAGCTACTCCGAACCCCTCTAGCAAAAAGCGAGTGAAAGAGGTCGTCGTGACGAAGAAACAAAGAAAGAGCTACTCAGAACCCCTCTAGCAAAAAGCGAGTGTCTCAAAAAGAGAAAGAAGAAAAATCCCGATATACGAAATGTCCGTACACACTTCTGCTCTTTCCGTGACAGTGCGAAGCCTTTTCACCTCCAGCGAAAGCAATTCTTCCTCTGATCCCTCCCCGCTCGCCGTCCCCTATATCCTAGTTGACGCAAAAGCCAGTGGGACCTGTAGCTGCAATGCTTAATTGTCTCACCTCCAGCGAAAGCGGTTTTTCCTCTGATCCCTCCCGGCTCTCCCTGTTCACACCGCTCCTCTCCATACTCCCACCCCTCTCCTCCTCGAATATATGCAAGCGCGTCTCCCGTTCGTTGGCGCTCACTATGATCACCGTGTGCCACTACAGACCCGTGTGCCACTGCAGACACGTGGCTTCTGTCGAACATCTCACCTCGAGTGAAAGCGGTTCTTCCGCTGACCCCTCTCCACTTGGCCTCTTTTTGAGTCGACTCAAAAGTCAACAGATATGTGTCCCAGCACACTGCGGCAACTTTTGGGACGTCTCAAGTGTCCCCGCACACTGCGGCAACCTTCTCACCTCCAGTGAAAGCGGTTCTTCCTCCGACCCCTCTCCACTTGGCCTCTTCAAGCCACCTTTCCCTGCACAACCCCCTTTCTCCTCCTCGAATCTGTTTTGCAGCGGCGTCTCCCCCTCGTTGGCGCTCACAATGAACACCGTGTGCCACTCCAGGCCCTTGGACTGGGGGTGGAGGAATGGGGAAAGGAGAATGGAAAAGAGGGACTAATGGGGAAACAAGGGAACGGATATCCAAGAATCAGGAAAGCACAGAGGCGTCTCCCCCTCGTTGGTGCTCAAAATGAGCACACTGTGCCACTCCAGGCCCTTGGACTGGGGGTGGATTGAGTTGAAAGGGAGGAGGGGTTGATGAGGAATATTGTTCCTGTACCGGGAATAGTGGGAGGAGTCTCCCCCTCGTTGGCGCTCACAATGAACACCGTGTGCCACTCCAGACCCTTGGACTGGACGAGGGGCGGGCAGGTTCGGGAAATGGGGAAACAATCAGATATTGTCCCCTTGAACAAGGGAACAGCTATCCTGTGGAACAATCTGGCGCACAAATCTCTGGTGACACTACCTGAGGGATAGTTGTCTGTCTGTCAGCCACATTCACCTGGCGCATGGTGGTGAGCATGACCGAATCCTCATTCGCCTTTCTATTTTTGAGTCCTCTCAATTCTCAGTTTTCGTTTTCTGAGTTGACTCAGTCACTGTCAGCCACAAATCACCTGGTGCATGGTGGTGAGGGTGACCGAATCCTCATTCTCCTTTCTCCTCACAGCGTTGTTCTGAGCCTCCTTTGCCGCTACATGGTCCAGAAACGCCCGCAGCAGAGCCGCACAGGAGTAGGAGGAAAAGGAGAAGGCATAACATTCTCCTTCCCCCTCAAATTCACCTGGTGCATGGTGGTGAGAGTGACCGAATCCTCATTTTCCTTCCGCCTCACAGCGTTGTTCTGTGCCTCCCTCGCTGCTACATGGTCCAGAAAGGCCCGCAGCAGAGCAGCGCAGGAGGAGGAGGAAGAGGAGGGGGAGAAGAGAGAGGAGGAGGAGAAGACCGAGGAGGGAAAGCAGCTGGAGGCAGCGTCGGCAGCACAGGTGTTTTTGCAGGTGGTTTCATCATTGGCAACGGTGTCAGGTGGTTTGGGTGTGTGGAGGGAGAGGAAGGCGCTGATGTCATCGATAAGAAATTGACGGGCCTGGTTAGACGGACAGAGGGTAGAAAAGGATACCAGAAAGGAAAACAGCAAGCTATTCATGCGTTTGTTCTTGAAAGCTCCCCAAAACAAAAGATATGCTGCAGTTGTATGACGAAGGGATCTCAGGAAAAGGGGCTACTGAAGTAATCAAGACTGTAATGACGCAGCAGATGAAAAGATAAGAGGACCTCTCGGGCAACTTTCAGGATAGCAGCATGGTTTTTCAGCGAATGATAAGCATCATGCATTTCGTTCGTTGCATAATCAAAAGAATGGGATGACATGCATTTGCTTGCACAATCAACAGACGTTTCAAAATCAGTTTGGGTGAGAGCGGCAAAATGCATTTGTTTGGGTGAGAGTGGCAAAATGCATTTGTTTGGGTGAGAGCGGCAAAATGCATTTGTTTGGGTGAGAGCGGCAAAATGCATTTGTTTGGGTGAGAGCGGCAAAATGCATTTGTTTGGGTGAGAGCGGCAAAATGCATTTGTTTGGGCGATCAACTATCCACTCACCGTGCGCATGTCATCGTCCTCATTGAGAAGCTTCCCTGAAGTTTCGCTCACTGTTGCACGCGACGAGAATGCAGCTCTCTACGGCAAGTGAATGGGTTTAGCAGGGTGGGGCAGTAGCATGGGAGGATGGGGGACGAAGGGGGAGAGGAATAATAACATAGCGGGGAAGGGGAGAGTCAGAGTAGGTGTAGGTAAGAGCGAAAGAGGAGTTGGTGAGTGAGAAATGGGAAGTCAAAGAAGTTGGGGGGGAGCGTGGTCGGGGAGGGAGTGGGGAGAATGAGAAGACTGGAAAAGGGGAAATAAAACGAAGGGAAGGATGACGAACAAGTGCAGTGCAAATCAGAATGATGGGAAGGGAAGTTGCAATCACTCCAGCAACTCAGTGTCCATCAACAAGTTGCACATTATGCTACTCAGTGACGTCGTGCTTACTCACCTCAGGAATGAGCTTGATGATAGAGTCGACGAAGGCAGTCAGGGAAACCTCCTGATGGATCCACGCATGGGGGATGGTTGGTGTCGGTACGTATGGGTGGGGGATGGTTGGTGTTGGTACGTGTGGGTGGGGGATGGTTGGTGTCGGTATGTGTGGGTGGGGGATGGTTGGTGTCGGTACGTGTGGGTGGGGGATGGTTGGTGTTGGTACGTGTGGGTGGGGGATGGTTGGTGTTGGTACGTGTGGGTGGGGGATGGTTGGTGTTGGTACGTGTGGGTGGGGGATGGGTGGGTGTAGTCTCGATATAGGTTGACAAAGGCAATGAGCTTGATGATTGAATGTACGAAAGGCGTTGGTGACACCTCCTGATGGATGGATGGGTGGAGCGCGGTTGATATAGTCACACGTACGACAGGGTGTGTGAGGGCAGCAGCAAGTTACGGTGAGCTTGATTATGGAGTGTATAAAGGACGCCAGTGACACCTTTTGAGACGTCTCAAAAGTTGATTAGTTTTGAGACGTCTCAAAAGTTGATTAGTTTTGAGACGTCTCAAAAGTTGATTATGGAGTGTACAAAGGACGCCACTGACACCTGCTGATGGGTGCACGGATGGGGGATGGGTGGGCTGGCATTGCATAGGTTGCAAGAAATGTAGGTAGGTATGTACGTGATGACAATGAGGAATGAGCTTGGTGATTAAGTCTACGAACGAGGTCAGGAGGTCAGTGACACATCCTGTAGGGAGGTATGTGTTGACAAAGAGGAATGAGCTTGGTGATTCCTCTTTGACAAAGAGGAATGAGCTTGGTGATTCCTCTTTGACAAAGAGGAATGAGCTTGGTGATTCCTCTTTGACAAAGAGGAACGAGGTCAGTGACACCTCCTGATGGATCATTGGGATGGATGGATGCAGCGTGGTTGACATAGTCACATGTACGACAGCGTGAATGGGGGCAGCAGCAAAAGCATTGTGTAGTGAGCTTGATGATGAAGTCTATGAAGGCTGTCAGACCTCCTGATGGATGGACGGATGGTTGATGCCCCAGATGGGTGGTGGGTGATGGGTGGGTGATGGGTGTGTGATGGGTGTGTGGGCAAGGAACTGCGATCTCGATATGTGTTGGCAAAGGGCAGTGAGCTTGATGATGGAGTCTATGTTTTTTGAGAATTCTAAAAAAACTGATGATGGAGTCTACAAAAGGGGTCAGCGACACCTCCTGATCCATGGACGGATGGTTGATGGGCGGATAACACATGGATGTGTGTGTGATGCATGCAATGCATGGATGATTCAGCAACGGCTGGCAGGTGCAGCAGCAGGACAAGTTCAGCAGAACACTGACCGTTCAGTGTGCAGGTGCATCTGCCGGCAGGGCAAACGCACGGCGAGTTAGAGAAGGGCGCAGCAACACAGCAGTGAAAGGTGCAGCACAGCACAGCACAGCACAGCACAGCACAGCACAGCACAGCACAGCACAGACCGTTTTCAGTAGGTTGCGAGCAATGCGGATAGTGGTGAGCACCGAAGCACCGGCTTTGAGCTGCTTCCTAGAAAGGGTAGGAGGTGGATGCAGGGATGTAGGAAGAAACGTGGATACAGGCAGGGTTACAAGAAGTAGGGGGAGAACGTGCGGCAGCAGATCTCATCTCATCTCATCCCATCCCATCCCATCCCATCCCATCAACCAAACACCCCACTCACTCACCTTGTGAACCTTCCTGACACTTTCCCCGAGAAAATGGTTTCTGCGGCTTCCAGGAAGCTGCAGCCTCGGTCCCTGGCCCTCTGCTCCACATGATCTGCAGCCTGTTGCAGGAATGGACGGGTGTGAGGCGACACAGAGTAGGAGGTTTCAGGTGAGTTTTGAGGCACCTCAAAACTAGATCTGCAGCCTGTTGCGGGAATGGATGGGTGTGAGGCGACGCAAGGCGACAGTGTAAGTTCAGACAGAGTAGGAGGTTTCAGGTGAGAGTAAGTGCAATTGAAACGCAATGGCTTTCGGGGTGTTGGTCGGTGGAGTGTCAGGCAAGAAACCCTAGAGGAGGGTGGTTGGTCGGTGGAGTGTCAGGCAACAAACCCTAGAGGAGGGTGGTTGGGGTGGTTCAGGCGAACGTGAATAACAAAGGGCTTCAATTGTTGGTCCTTGTGACTTCTACGGCGGAATGTACAGAGTGTTTCACCTTTTTCGCCTCGTCCTTTTCGCGGCTGAACAGTAACTTCCAGACTCTCCGGGCGGCAGTGTTGTCCACTAGCGCTGGGAGGGAGAGGCGCAGGAGTGCCAGCACGTTGCGCAGGGCCTGGGATTGGGGAGGTTTGAGAAGGGATAGGGAGGGATGGAGAGGAATGGAGAGGGATGGGGAGGGATGGGGAACATTAGATTGTAGGGAGAGGCGCAGCAGAGCCAGCACGTTGCGGAGGGCCTGGGGAAGGGGAGAGGGAGGGGAGGACGGAGCAAGGGCGTAAGAAACCACACTCGGTTGGTATCGAGGGTATATGCCTATCCAGGGGTTGGTGCTTGGTCTATATGATAGGGAGACGCGCAGCAGCAAAGTGAGCACATTGCGCAGGGCCTGGGGAAGGGAAGAGGGAGGAAGTTCAGAGGGAGGGAGGGCAGTGGGAGGAGAGGAGGTGCAGTGCAGAGGGACGGAGAATGGAGGAAGGTTGAGGGAGGGAGGAAGGACAAAGGTTAGAGGGAATGGCACCTGTATACATGAACCCCTAACGCCGCACTTGTCTATTCACCTTCTTCCTGTAGAAAGCCACGCCATGCACGTTGAAGGGGATCTTCCTCTCCCTCATCACAGCCTGGAAAGCCCGGCTGGTTCTAGTGCCTGCCTGTGTGTAGAGTGGAATAACCTACAATGCCAGACAGAACGCACCTTCTTGCGGTAAAACGCCACGCCATGCACGTTGAAGGGAATCTTCCTCTCCCTCATCACAGCCTGAAACGCCCGGCCAGTCACCTGCCTCCGGTAGAGCACTGCCACATCGCTCCACGCCAGTTGGGTGCCTGCGCTGCCTGGTGCTGCACTGCTCCCTGCTGCCACGCTCCCTGCTGCTGCGTTCACTGCTGCTGCGTTCACTGCTGCTGCGTTCACTGCTGCAGTGCTGCTGCCAGAGGCACTGGTGTTGGTGGTGACGCTGGTGGTCGTGGTCATGCTTGCAGTGGTGGTGTGCGATTGAACGCGGTGCATTTGGTGCATGAAAGACATGATGGCATCGGCGACCAGGGCACACTGTGCTGCTTCATTTCGCACCTCCACCACCCTGCCATGCACCGATGGATGCAGATGGGTAGAGAACGGTGGTATGGGGACGAGGCATGCCAAAGAGGCATGAGCATACAAGTTTTGTGCCCACCAATCTTACCAACTCCAGCATGCACTGGTGAGTAATACAGCCCCCCCCCAAAAAAAAACACCTTACAACCGGTAATTACAAAGACCCTTACCCAACAAAAAGCCTTACCACACCAGATTCCTGTCCCAACGACTCTCAATCCTTCCGCAAATCATTCCCACCCACCCTTTTCCCCACCTGATCCATTGAAGGCGCTTCAAAAGTCTCTCCCAGCAACAATTACTCCTGTCGCACATTAATCCCAACCTCTTCCCACCTGATCTTCTCCCCATCGCCATTGTCAGTGCACAGTTGCTTGGCCGCCCTCCTTCCTGGAAAGTTCTGCGAGATGACAGCAGCAGAGGCCCGCACTATGGTGCCTGTGGAGCGGTAGTTGCGGCACAGGCGCACCTGGGAGGGGAAGAAGCGATAAGGGGTGGTAGTGGACGGGAGTGGGAGATAATCTGTAAGGTGCGCCTGTGTACCGCCTGTGGTAGTGACTCAAGAGAGCGTACGTGTATCTGTGGAGCATAGTGATAGTGGTGCTCATATGGGACTACCACAAACACATATGGGACGGGAGCAGCAGCCCAGCCCTGACATGCACTGGGGACAGCACATTGTCATATGTCCCTATGATCTCACCTCGCTGTGATCTCACCTCGCTGTGATCTCACCTCGCTGTGATCTCACCTCGCTGTGGTCCGGGAACTGCTCTCGAAACATGTCAAAAGAGGCACAGCTGTGCATTGGCTCCGTTAAAGCTGGATATGGACTGCAGGAGGGATCACATGTGCTCACACCTCGTTGTCCTCTCACCTCCCTGTGCTCTCACCTCCGTGTGGTCGGAGAAGTGCTCTCGGATTGGCGCCGTTGAAGCTGAATATGGACTGCACAGGGTGTGAAAACACAATTTCCCCGGCACCGTTTTTGGTCGACATCAAAACGCAACAAGGCACATGATGTAACACGTCATGTTTGCTTTGATACCACTCACAACGAATTGGCTTTCAGCATTATAGTGTGACGTATGCAGTCTTCTCAGCTCAGCTAAACCCTTCCCTTCTCATTGACCTTACCAACCCTTCTCATCCCACAAACCCACCTGATCATCATCCCCCACAACGGTGATGTGCCCGTGTGTGCCACAGAGAGCCTTCACGAATGCGAACTGGATGCGGGAGGTGTCTTGAAACTCGTCCACCAGTACATGAGTCCATGCTGCTGTGCACTCCTCAAGCACTGCAGAAGTGTGTTAGGGGAGAACTGGAGGTATTGAAGAACCGGTTGAGGTGTCTTGAAACTCGTCCACCGGAACATGGGTCCATGCAGATGCGCACTCCTGCAGCACTGCAAGAGAGATACAATGGGGGAGAGAAGGGCCAACAAAGCGGCAGCGGTTGAGGTGTCTTGAAACTCGTCCACCAGCATGTGCGTCCATGCTGCCATACACTTCTGCAGGGGTGCAAGCGTCGATGCATGGACCACTTTTCCTATCACTAACCACTAACCATCAGCATGTTGTGTCAGCAGCATGGTGGAGAGCAGGATGAAGTCGTGATAGTCCACCGCACCGCGTTGCACTTGATGAATAGATGCCGCGCCTCCCAGGCACCACCATCCAACCAGCACTCACCATCAGCATGTTGCGTGAGCAGCATGGTGGAGAGCAGGATGAAGCTGTGATAGTCCACCGCGTTGCATCATATGGTGGAAACCGCAGTGCCCTCCAGCAGTCAGCACTCACCATTCTTGTGTACGCATGGCTTCAGTGGTTCCCAAGAACCAGCACTCACCGTCAGCATGTTGTGTGAGCAGCATGGTGGAGAGCAGGATGAAGTCGTGATAGTCCACCGCGTTGCACTTCTGCAGCACACTTGCATATGCTCGCAGCACACGGGCCTGGGAGGAAGAAGGTAGAGGGGGGTAGATAGAGGGGCGCCTGTGCAGTGCACAACTGGTGGATGGGAAGTGCGATGGGGTAGTAGTGACATGCATGGGAATCAGTCAACATCGTTGCAATTCACCATGGCATGAGGGGAATACGAGCCTTACTGCCTCGTGGTTGCCCCGTGCTTCAAAGTCCTCTGCTGTCTGACCTGCTGCCTTGGCCTGTGGTGGTTACGGAGAGAGTCACCATGGCATGGCGAGGGAAAAAAAAGACAATGGAAGGAGCAAGCAGCATGTCACGTGAGGTCAAAAGGGATAGATGGAGGGCAATTTGCGAGAGATGTTGCTTTGTGACACAGTAGTGCCCCGCATATCATGTTCACCCTTGGCTTGTCTGTGTGAGTAACTGATCATGAGGAGGACAGACATTCCACTGTCCACACACACACACCTACTCAACTCCCTTGTCACTCACCCTCACAACGAACTTGACCCACTTTGCTGCTGCTGCTCGGCTCCTCTTCAGCTCCTCCACCTCCCTCGCGACCCTCTCCTCCACACTCTCTCCCACCTTCCCTCCTCCCTTCCCCTCTTCGTTCTCCTTATTCCCCTCCTCAGTCCACCTGCCCGCACTTCTCCCACCCGCCGCTCCCACACCTGCTGCCCCCGCACCTGCCGCACCTGCTGCCGCTCCAAATGCCCTTCCATTGCAGTCTCGACCAACCTGCCTGTCCTCTCTCCGCTGCTTCCCTACACACCCCTCCCCCCTGCTCGATTCCCCCTCCCCCTTCTCGCCCTTCTCCCCCGTCCCACCGTTATTCCCCCCCTCCCCCAGCGCCAGTCTAACTGCTTCTGTGATGACCCTTCGCTGCTGCTTGTGCCCAAACACAAGGAAATCCGCCGTGCGGCCAAACCTGGGACAACGTGGGCGGGCAGAGGGGATTCGTGGTGGATGGAAGCATGACATGACACCCCTACCTCAAAACTCACTTGTGAGGCGCCTCAAAAGACTTTTGAGGCGCCTCAAAAGTGGTGGGTGGAGGCATGACATCACACCCCTACCTCAAAACTCACTTGTTGAGAATGATTGGTTTGTACAGATGCAAGCACAGACAACAGTAAAATCCTACCCTCTCACCTTTCCTAACCACATTGCACCACACCACACCCTTTCCAACCACGTTTTCTTGAAAAGAAGGACTCACTTTTCCGCATGGTTCCTGCACAGCTGAAGGCACAGCGAGTGGAACGTGCTTACTACCACTTCCCCTGTCGCCCGCTCATCTTCCTCCTCACCCTCCTTCTCTTCCTTCCTATCCTTGCCTTCTTTCTCTTGCTTCCCTTCCTCGCCTTCCATTCCTGCCACCCCTCCCTTGTTTTCTCTCCTTCCCTTCCCTGCCGCTCCTGTCTTCTTGCCTGTCGATCGCCTCCCTTGGCTGGCCAGCACGCGTTCTCGCATCTCATTGGCTGCTGCTGTGGTGAAGGTCATTGCGAGGATGCGATTGGCTGGCACACCCACGTGGAGAAGATGCAAAATGCGAGCTACCATGGTCGAGGTCTGGCAGAGGGGGAAAGGAGAGAGAAAGGGGGAGAGAGAGGGGGCAGTGCAATGGGAAGAGCGAGCGGAGCTCTGCGTTCTGAGTTCTTTCTAGCAAGGGACCACACCAAACCACACAGGACTAACTTTGCCACTTCCCGGCCCAGCAAGCACCAGGAGTGGTCGGTCCACATCTTCTGCTGCTGCTGCTGCTGCAGGGCCACACTGCACCACACCACACCACGCCACGCCACGCCACGCCACGCCACACCGCACCACACCACACCACACCACACCAAAACAGACCACCCAGTACTCACTTTGCCGCTTCCCGGCCCTGCGAGCACAAGGAGTGGTCGGTCCACATCAGCTGCTGCTGCTGCCCTCTGCTCCGCATTCAACCGAGCCAAGTAAGGCTCCTCCTCGCTTATACACATTCCTGCTGCTACTTCTTCTGCTGCTACTTCTGCTACTTGTGTCGCTGCCTCCACTTCTCTTGCTGCTACTGCCACTGGTGCAGCTTCTGCTTCTTCCGCTCCTCCTGCTCCTTCTCCTACTGCTCCTGCTTCTGCCACGACCACTTCGCCTGCTGCTCGTCCATACTCGCCTCCTCTCACTTCTTCACCATCTCTTGCACTGCACTCCTTCCTTCCACCCCACTCGCTGCCTTCTTTCACATGCCCCATTGCCTTACTACATGCCCCCACGCCTGCCTCTCCCACACTAGTGCGTGCATCTGAGGCAAGCCGTGGCTTCACCACTCTCCATTCCAGACCTCTCATTGCTGCCTCTGCTTCTGCTGTCGTCTCCGCTGTTGCTGCTGCAGATGCTGTTGCTGCCGCCAACGCTGCTGCTGCCGCCCCTGCTGCTGCTGCTGCTGCTGCTGCTGCTGTAGCCTCCACCATCCCTGCTGCCTGGAATGATGATAAGTTTGCACATACAGCTGTTTCAATCCCTGCTTGCCCCTCCCCACCTTCACCTGCACACGCCTCCGCTCCACTGGCACTACCTGCCCTGCTTCCCCCAGGTTCTTTCTCAGGTGTTTCAAACAGACGGCATCCAGGCCCTAAGTCAGAGCCCAGATGCCGCCTCAAGCCCCAAACACCCTGCACTTCCAAAGAGGTGTGGGCAGCAGAAGCATCAGGGCACGCACCTATTGCAGCCAAGGATTCTCCATTGGATCCCTCTCCTCCAAAGAGGTTTGGGCACAAACCTCTACTGCCAGCAACGTAGCCTCCACTCGCGAATGAACCGCGCACTGAACTTGCTGCAGCAGATCCGGCTTGTACTGGAGCTGCTTGTACCAAGGATGCAGGTGCCACGTTGGGAGGGAAGGGACGACAAGGGGTTGGTGTGGCCGGCGTAGCACGCTGAAAACCAACACCAGGTGTTGCCTGCTGTGGAGCAGTCACCGAGGCTACGTGCTTCTGTGGTGTCCCAGCTTGCGTGATGCATTGCTGTTCCGGAGTGGCTGCTGCATGTCTCGCATGTGTAGGTGTACTGTCACTCACTGGAGTGGTGAATCTGGGGGCAATTGATGGGGCACAGTGGAGGTGTGAAGGTACGGGCGGCATGTGCTGGAGTGTAGTGGCTGGTGATGAAACGTGCATAGATGGGGGGGTCACAGGTGACATGTGGCGTGATGTGATTGGACCAAAGGCAGGCACCGCAGGGGTATGCGGGGACATGCCATGTGCTGATGACGTGTCATGTCTATGGGTTGACATGTCAGCTCCGTGTGCTGACGTGGCTGGAAACGGCCCAGCTGCTGACGTGTACGACTTATTGAATGGACGTCTGGGGGATGCGCTGTTGGGAGGTGGCATGGACTTAGGGGGGCGGAACGATGGGAGGAGGAGGTATGGCTGCTCCAGTCGTCCCTTCTCCATCCTCCCTTCCTTGCTGCGCTTTAGCAGCACCACAAATACGGCAGGAGAATTCCCAGCTGCAGCGACAGCACGAGCAGCAGACGCATCAGCACTGGTAAAAACATCTTCATTCCCACCAGTGACAGCAGTACGGCCAGCAGCAGCAGCACCAGCGGCACTCATAACAGCTTCTGCTGCAGCCAATGCTGCAGCACTCGCAGCGGCCTCTGCTGCAGCCAGTGCTTGCTCCGCTGCCTCCATCCACTCCGCATCAATCCCATCTGCTTCTGCTGACTCAGCAGCGTCAACCTTATCCGCTCGTGCTGACTCATCAACATTCTCCGACACCTCCCCAGGGAGCAGGATTCCTCCAGCAGCATTAGTAGCATCTTCAGATTTTGGCTTATCAATAATATTGCTCATAGATTCGGCGTTTCTTGGCGATTCATGCGACCTGAATCCGCATTGCATCCCGCCACCTGTTCCTGAAGCGTCAGCAGCATTTAATCCGACATTTTCAACGGATTTCAAATCGCCAAACGACTTTGCGGCTCCTGGAAAATCTCCTGGAAAACCTGCATCTCCTGGCGATTTCAGAGCTCCAGGCGTTTTGCCAGGTGACCCACAGGGGGAGCGGCAGGTGGGGGAAGAGGACTCAGAACGAGGCTGCTTCAACGGCGGAGATTCAGGCTCAGCAAGCCACGTGTCAAGCATCTGAAGTGAGACGCGACCTCTTTTCAAAGCTCCCAGCCGTTTCCTCCGGCTCTGCTGTTGCTGCTTCTGCTGCTGCTGGGTATCTAGGTGCATGTTGCTCTGGATTCGACCGTCATTCTTCGTTGCAATGTCTACACGGATCGGAAAAGCACAGGTTCCATCATCGACGGAGCGCGAGGAGCGGGGGGATGCATCCGAAACGCCGAGATGCCTTTCTGTACGACGAGGCTGTTCCGAATCGCGTGAAACACGGCAAGAATCCGGACGAACGTTTCCGCGCTCGATGCCGTCGAAAGCGCTGGGTTTCGCGTCACGTAGCGGAAGCGAGGAATTTCCGTGTGGTAATGAGAAACATTTCTCGTCATAAGGCTTGGTTCCGTCGTCCCGTAACGGATATTCATTATGATTATTGCGAGGGAATGGCGTCTCCAGGCACCCGTCCGACGGACTTCGGGTCGTTACGAGATTGCAGAATCTGCTACTACCTCTCTGGTCCTCCTGTCGTCCGTCCTGCTCTCTAATCGTCGCCGCAACAGACTGTCGTCCCGCAATACACGGACGCATTGGCCATTTCCCCGCAGAGCATTTTTCCTTCAAGCGATCACGACCTAATCCATCCATCACCGTAAGTTACCTCAAATTCCTGCGTAAATAAGTGTCATATCGATCAGGTCTACAGGCACCAAGCTAAGCTGCTTCAGAGGCCAGGCAATGCTGACTTGGGATTCAGAGAGGTTAGCGCTACAATCTGGTGAGAAACAAACGCTGACTGAGAATGAGAGAGCAACAATGAAGCTTCACGCTGACGCTGAGAGTACCTGACAGAAGACCAAGGGCCCAGTGCCATCCTGAATCTCTAGAAGCATGCCGATGGAATCCCAAGGCATCCAAGTTCATACACCAGCTAATATCGAGGAAACTTGCTTGTTCGTCGTTGTTGCAGCATATATTCTTATTTCCTATATCCATGCATATTCATGTAAGCCTGAACTGCAATAGAAACAAGCTCCACTATTACGTATCTCAAACAGCATTTTTTTACACAATGAAATCATACATTCTCCATTATCTTCAGTGCATAATTTGCACTATGAGTCAAATATCAAAATAAATGATAAATAGTGTTAGTGATTAACAATTTTCACATCAACACTTCGTGTTTGCCATCAAAGCACACACTGGGCTGGGCCCACCATATTCAATCGTCAGAGTGGACAAACCTTCCTTCTCAAGAACTCAAGATTAGTACTATCAATTACATAATTTCCAGTGAAGATCAACATCTTCACAGTGCGTTGAGATGCCCATTTCATAGTTATGTGATCATATTTGGGAACCGTTTTATTTCTCCAGCACATCTTCCTGGCATGATGTTTTCAACCAAGAACTGTCGTCATCTCATGCATTTAGCAATTTAAAAGTTACACCACTGATGACTGAGATTAGCTTCAGAGAAATGTATCACCACCACCTATCCCAATCAATTACTGCAGCATGCCAGAATCACCTTCACACCACCTTCACTCCAAACCACACATGTATGCAACTCACAGTCGAGATTTAACTTTGACATCAATAGTTTTGTCTCGCTTGTGCTCAGGCTGTGGTGGAAGCTTCTTCACGGAAATCGTCAAGATGCCGTCCACACAAGCAGCCGTCACACGTTCTACGTCTGCATCAGACGGAAGCTGAAACTCCCGGGTAAAGCTCCCGTGCACTCTTTCTCTCCAAATAAGCCGCTCGTTAGCCGACTTCTCCTGACGACGCTCTCCCTTGAATGAAATAACAAGCGTTTCAGGATTAATTCTCACTCTCAAATCCTTTCCTTGAAACCCAGGTACGTCGACACGGAAAATATACTCAGAGGGTGTTTCAACGATATCCAGCGGGGCCATGCGCAACAGAGAGAAATCAACGGCAAGTTTTTCACTGGTGCGGGGGCCTGGGACAACGGAACAGAGTCAATTAATTAACGACCTGCGCCTTATGCTGAGGTCCAAGTAAGCCTCTCGCTGTGCAATATTACAGTAACCTTCAAATTGCTTGCATTGTTTGTGGGGGGATGCAAGTAGTAGATTCGGTTTGGGAAGAACGTTGGGTGCGCTGCTAGGACTTTCGGGAAGCAAATCGAGGACTTCGTCAGCAGGCGTGTCTTTTGGTGCCGTGCCGACGAAGTACATGTGCGAACTACACGAGATCAAAACCTGTTACGTAAATGGCATGATCTGTATAAGCAGTGTGAGGAATAAGAATTTTGTGAGTTCTATAATGTGGTTAAATTGTGCCCTGCAATCACAGGCGATAACAAAAAAATGCTTCCTTGCATAGTGCCATCACGAGTCGCTTTCTTCATAATAGACTGTTAAGAATTCGGGATACAGATCTGCGAAATGGAAGAATGTCAATAGAGAATAATTTAACAACAACAGAAAATCAGGGGTTTATATTATCAGACTTCTCTCATAATTCTAAAAGCTGTGATAAGGAGCATTTAAGAAGTGTGCCTTGGCAAGCTAGCGAAACTGAGAACGAGTTGCACAGTGAAGCGGTTTAAAATTTGTTCGTCTCAGCTCGGCACCTCGTTGCTGGAAGCGGGAATCAAGCATTGCACGGTAGATGCAGCAGCAGCACCCTCTCAGAAGAAACAGGACACGTACCAGCAGTAGCGGCTATTGCAGCACGCTTCTAACGCGTATGTTGAGGACAGCCCTTCTCAAATTCTTCCTCCTCCCCCAGTCAATACTTTTTCCCACAGATCTTTCAGTGGGAAGTAGAGTGTCGGTTCCTGGACCTACCTAATTAGTGCATCACTGCACGTGACAGTGCAGGAGAAACTACAGTTTTTGCGGCTGGAACACAATTAGGTCTCGGTTCGGCGTCTAGGCGCCTGCGGATCGACCCTTCTCCCGCATTGCTGGGCCGATCGCGTCTCTCCCTCCACTGTTTACCATCACTTCGCACCCGTGTAAGGCTTCCGCTTATACACCCTGGTTTCAATAGCTCCAGCTCTGTTAGTAGCTCTGCCGCGAGTTTCTCTTCTTCCCTGATCTCTCATGCAATACAGGAACTGCCGACTCAAGATTCATGATGGGTGGATGATGCTTCATGATTCATTATTCATACTTGTTGTTTTATCATTCCTGATCCATGATCCGTAATTCGGCCTTTTCCTGGCCAGATGGGTGAATCTGTCCCTAGAGATCTCCGCTTTCCTTGTTCGCCTGCATCTGTTTTGATCCGTCGCACCCTACACGACGAGCACGCAGTGCTACCTCGTTTCCCATAATCCCTTGAATCTCTTCGGTCTCTTGGGTCGAAGTTGATCCATCTTCCGTTGCTGATCCGATCGATCGCCGATGGACCGTTGTTGTGCCGGTTCTTTGGATATATATGGCGTCTCCGGACTCGCTAGTGTACTGGATTAGGATCCTCGCTAATTAGTTGTCTCCTCTTTTCTTAAAACGTTTTTACGTAAACAAACAGAACATAGGGGTTTTCAGGTGCCTCTCGGCCACCCCTCCAATCCCTCTACCGTTCCCGCCCTGCCTTTTTCAAGATACAAACTAGGAATGGAGGAAAAGCCGGGAAGCCTGGCCCGTGTCTTCATTATCATGAGTCGCTTCCACACGGCTGGGGATGTCGCAGCAGGAGCAGCCGCTTCATCTTGTAGCATCGAGAATCATAGAATTGTGGATCAAACTGTAACCTCTCTCCCCCCCATTTCGCCGTTCCTCCATCCCCTCCGTTTTCCGCCCCTCTTCCCCCCTTCCCTCCAACCCCAGAACCATGTCGCAACAGGAGCAGCCGCTTCCGAGCAGCGCGAGCGGCGCGGATAGCGCTGACCTCCCCTGATGCCTCTCCTCAACCCCGTCCCCCCTCTCACCCCCGCTTCGCTCCCGCCTGCGTTTCTCCCCCTTCCCCCCTCTCCTCCCCCGCCTCCTTTCTCCCTATCCCCCCACCCCCTCCTTTTTCCACGCCAGAACCATGTCGCAGCAGGAGCAGCCGCTTCCGAGCAGCGCGAGCGGCGCGGAGGGCGCTGACGTGGACGAATCAGGGGTGGCGCAGTCGCCGTCGTCCGCGAATCCCGCCGCGCCCTCATTCGCGTCGTCGTCGCTCTACGTGGGCGATCTCGATGCGAGCGTCACGGAGGCTCAGCTCTTCGACTTGTTTTCGCAGGTACTGGTAACCAGGTTTCTGCGAATTAGGTTACTGCGTGCGTCAAGGACCGTCCCCAATCCTCTCCTTCGCGTCATCGTCGCTCTACGTGGGCGATCTCGACGCTAGCGTCACGGAGGCTCAGCTCTTCGACCTCTTCTCGCAGGTACTGCGAGGCAGTTTGCTGCTCCCCTCCCTCGCCCCTAGCCGCCATCCCCGGCCCCCTTCCCCATCCCCTCTACGTGGGCGATCTCAATGCGAGCGTCACGGAGGCCCAGCTCTTCGACCTCTTCTTGCAGGTTCCGGGAAGCAGGGGATGTTTGAACCCATGCCTGATCACCCGCCCTCCCTCCCATCCCCTTCTCTCCCTTTCCTTCCGCCCCTCTCCGTTCTCCTCCCCTCCCCTCCCCTCTCCTCCCCTCCCCTCCCCTCTCCTCCCCTCCCCAGGTGGGCCCTGTAGCCTCCATCCGCGTGTGTCGCGACATGGTCACGCGGCAATCGCTGGGATACTCATATGTCAACTTCAGCAGCAGCCAGGACGGTGAGTGTTACTGTGTTACCACCACATGCGCACACCAGGCAATCGCTGGGATACTCATATGTCAACTTCAGCAGCAGCCAGGACGGTGAGTGTGGTGGCATTCCCTTAGGCAACGACACTGTGCACTGTGTATATACACTTCTGCCTTGGGATCCACCCATCGTGCACCCCTGATACCGCCCTCCATCCCTTTGACACCCCTTTGACATCCCCCGCACCCCTTAGACCTCCCCTTCACTGTTTCGAAATCCCTTTCACAACTCTGAATGCAGCTGCCCGGGCTCTGGACCTACTTGACTTCACGAACATGGCGGGGCGACCCATGCGCATCATATTCTCGCACCGGGACCCATCCATCAGACGCAGCCCTGACACCACCCCCCACCCCTCTGACATCCCCCCAACCCTTCTAATGTCCTCTTCACCCCTTAAAATGCAGCTGCCCGAGCTCTGGACCTTCTTAACTTCACAAACGTGGCGGGGCGTCCCATGCGCAGCATGTCCTCGCACCGGGACCCCTCATCACACCTCTAGTACTCTCCCCCACTCTCTCCTCTCCCTTCCGTCTGCAGCCGCCCGAGCCCTTGACCTGTTGAACTTCACCAATTTGGCGGGACGACCCGTGCGCATCATGTTCTCGCACCGGGATCCCTCCCATGTATTACACTATATACCCCTCTTCCCTCTCTCATTCAACACACACACTACACCCCTCTCCCCTCCATCTCCTCCCCTCCCTCGCATCATGTTCTGTTCTCAGCTGCCCGAGCTCTCGATCTGCTCAATTTCACGAATGTGGCCGGACGACCCATGCGCATCATGTTCTCGCATCGGGACCCCTCCATCAGACGCAGCGGCACTGGGAATATCTTCATCAAGGTGGGAAATCGTATGCCAACTCTTGGTGTGAAGACTTGGCACTGCTTTCGAGGTAAGTTTCGAGGCGGCTCAACCAGAGCCACTGGGATCCACCCATGTGCATCATGTGCTCGCTCGCACCGGGACCCATCCATCAGTTTCAGCGGCACTGGCAATATCTTTATCAAGGTGGGAGAATCATTTCATGTTTGGTGCGTTGTTTCGTCATTTTTCACAAGTATTACGTGAAGCATGGATTTGTTTCCTTTCCTTCTATCTTGCTTGCTTGTATTCCCCCCGTCCTGCCGCCTCAGAATCTCGACAAGAGCATTGACAACAAGGCCCTCTACGACACCTTTGCGGCGTTTGGCTCGATTCTCTCCTGCCTGGTTGGAAGGAATGGGAGGCGGCTTATAGTCATTTTGTGTGTTTCCTGTGCTTGTCACCCCGTTGCTGCCACTCCAGAATCTCGACAAGAGCATTGACAACAAGGCTCTGTATGACACCTTTGCAGCGTTCGGCTCGATTCTTTCCTGCCGCGTTGCCACGGACGACAGCGGCGCGTCCAAGGGGTTTGCGTTTGTGCAGTTTGAAAAGGAGGAGGTGGCAAAGGCGGCTATTGAGAAAGTCAACGGCATGCTTATTGCTGGAAAGCAGGTGAGCTTATAACGGGTACAGAGAGGGAGGGGGGCGTCCAAGGGGTTTGCGTTTGTGCAGTTTGAGAAAGAGGAGGTGGCCAAGGCAGCTATCGAGAAAGTCAACGGCTTGCTCATCGCCGGAAAGCAGGTGAGCTTATGGCGGTTATGAGAGAAGGGCGTCTAAGGGGCTTGCGTTTGTGCAGTTTGGCTTCTGAGTCGACTCGAAGTTTCACTCAAATGTCACACCTTCCCTTCCTCAAATGCCACTCAAATGTCACACCTTCCCTTCCTCTCCCCCTCCAGGTGTTTGTGGGTCCCTCCCTCCCCCCACCACTCCCTCCCTCACTCCCTCCCTCCCCCCCGCTTCCTCCAGGTGTTTGTGGGTCCCTCCCTCCCCCCCACCACTCCCTCCCTCACTCCCTCCCTCCCCCCCGCTTCCTCCAGGTGTTTGTGGGTCCGTTTGTGCGCAAGCAGGACCACAGTTCCAGCGACAGAGATCTCCCCTCCTCCCCCCACCACTCCCTCCCTCACTCCCTCCCTCCCCCCTGCTTCCTGCAGGTGTTTGTGGGTCCCTTTGTGCGCAAGAAGGACCGCAGTTCCAGCGACAGAGATCTCCCCCCCTTCCCCCACCCCTCCCTCCCTCACTCCCTCCCTCCCCCCTGCTTCCTCCAGGTGTTTGTGGGTCCCTTTGTGCGCAAGCAGGACCGCAGTTCCAGTGACAGTGGAGGTCAGAACGGAGGTCCCCACTCTCCGGCTCCCTTCCCTTTCCTCCCCCCTCCCACTCTCCTCCCCTCCCCCTCCAGGTGTTTGTGGGCCCCTTTGTGCGCAAGCAGGACCGCAGTTCCAGTGACAGTGGAGGTCAGAACGGAGGTCCCCACTCTCCCACGGAGGAGACGACTGATGAGGAGCTTTTGAAGGTGTTTGCAGCGTTTGGGGCGATCAAAATTGCCCCTTCTCCCTCCTTCCCTCCCTCCCTCCCTGCCCCTCCCTCCGCCAGGTGTTTGTGGGTCCCTTCGTGCGCAAGCAGGACCGCAGTTCAAACGACAGCGACGGCATGGGTGGCGGGGGAGGGGGAGGAGACAGGTCAGGCAACAACCAGCAGCAGCAGCAGTATACCAACCTCTACGTGAAGGGTTTAGGGGAAGAGACGACTGATGAAGAGCTCCTTAAGGTTTTCTTAGCGTTTGGGGCGATCAAGAGCGCAGTTGTGATGCGGGAGGCTGATGGGCGGAGCAAGGGTTTTGGGTTCGTGAATTTTGAGAAAGCGGAGGATGCTGCGAAGGCTGTGGAGGGGGTTAATGGGAGGCGGGTTGTGAAAGGGGTGGTGGTGGGGGGTGGGGAGGGGGAGGGGAAGGGAGGGGAGGGTGAAGAAGCAGGCAAGGAGGGGGGGAAGGAAGGGGAGGAAGGGGAGAAGGGCGGGGAGAAGGAGACAAAGGAGGGAGAGACGAAGGAGGGGGAAACGAAAGAGGAGGAAACGAAAGAGGGGGAAAAGGAGGGAGACAAGAAGGAGGGAGGAAAGAAGGAGGGGAAGAAGGGAGGGGGAGGTGTGGGGCGGGTGTGGTACGTGGCTCGGGCCCAGAAGAAAGCAGAGAGAGAGGCAGAGCTGAAGCGGCGATATGAGGAGGAGAGAAGGCAGCAGACTGAGCGGTATTCTCAGAGGAATCTGTATTTCAAGAATCTGGAGGAGAGTGTGGATGAAGGAGAGTTGAAGAATATGTTCCAAGAGTATGGCGCCGTCACCAGCTGTAAGGTGGGCTGTTTGGGCTCGAGGACTTGTGGTGTGCAGAATTGGTCGCACAGGCAGCACAGGCAAATCACAGCATTGCAGGCAGACAGAGCGGTACTGACAGCATTCAGAGCGGTACATGCAGCAGAAAGAGCGGTACTCACAGCCCGAGACAGCAGGCAGCAAGAGCGCTGGCTTTGTGCTCTTTGCTGCTCGTCCAGCCCTTCGCTGCTCCTCCTTTCGCTTCCCCTTCATCCATCCTCCAACCTCCCTACACTGTCCCTCCCGTTCTGTGACTATCAGATTCTCAAGCATGAGTCAGCGAGCAGCAAGGGCGCTGGATTCTGCAAGGGCTCTTTGCCTTTGGCACAGCCCTTTGCTGCTCCTACTTCAATTCCCTCCGTTCCCTCTAATCCCACCCTGCACCCACCCCTCCCACTGTCCGTCCCATTCTGCCACCGACCAGATTCTCAAGCATGAGACAGGGGGCAGCAAGGGCGCTGGCTTCGTGCTCTTTGCAAACGAGGCTGATGCTGCAAAGGCGGTGAGTGGCTTTTGTTGTACACTCTGTCCTCGTTAGTACGATGTGCAGCACACTACACTTTGCACTGAACAGCAGGATGGTGAAGGGAAAGCCCCTGTGCGTGGCTGTGGCACAGCCCAAGGTGGAGCGACAGGCACTCATGCCCTCCATTCCCCCCCCGCTTCATTTGGTGCCCATCCCTTTCCTCCCAGCTCGCAGCACTGAACAGCAAGATGGTGAAGGGAAAGCCGCTCTATGTGGCAGTGGCACAGCCCAAGGCGGAGCGACAGGCACTCATGCCCTCTTGTCTGTGCTTTCTCCCTTTGTCTCTCCCTTCTCTGTCTGTCTGTCCCTTTCCTCCCAGCTCGCAGCACTGAACAGCAAGATGGTGAAGGGAAAGCCGCTCTATGTGGCTGTGGCACAGCCCAAGGCGGAGCGACAGGCACTCATGCCCTCTTGTCTGTGCTTTCTCCCTTTGTCTCTCCCTTCTCTGTCTGTCTGTCCCTTTCCTCCCAGCTCGCAGCACTGAACAGCAAGATGGTGGAAGGAAAGCTGCTCTACGTGGCGGTGGCACAGCCCAAGGCAGAGCGACAGGCGCTCATGCCCTCCGTTCCTCCCCTCTTCATTTGTTGTCCCATCCCTTTCCTCCCAGCTCGCAGCACTGAACAGCAAGATGGTCAAAGGAAAGCCGCTGTACGTGGCCGTGGCACAACCCAAGGCAGAGCGACAGGCGCAGCTGCAGGCCATGTTTCAGCAGCAGCGGGGGGGGCAGCCGCACCCGCGGGGGGGTGTGGCCGGTGTGCCTGGTGCTGCTGGGGGGTACTATGCCCCCCCGGGGGTGGTGGCGCAGCAGGGAGGGTTCTACACACAGCCGGGGATGATGCCTGTCCAGGTACGACCTGCCCTCATGCCTTCTGAACAGCACGACATGTTTCCCTCCCTCTCTCAGCAAGACAGCTGAGGCCCTCCGTCCCTTCTTCCTTCCTTTACTCTGCCTCCCTCCCCTAACGACCAGCTCTCGGACCCTTATTCGATGAAAAAGTGTCGTGTGCCCTCCCCTATAACGAGGTGACTTTTGAGTCGTCTCAAAAGTCCCTCCCCTGGCCACCAGCTCCCAGACCCCTATTCGCAGCAGCCTATGCGGCCAGGCATGGTTCTACCAGCAGGTATGGGGGGCGCAAGATTCAGGAAGTCAGCTGATCTCCTTTCTTCCATTCCCACCCCTGTCCACCACTCCCCACCCCGTCCCTCCCTGTCCAACAAGCCCCCATAGCCATATTCCCAGCAGCCCATGCGGCCAGGCATGGTGTTGCCAGCAGGCATGGGGGGAGCAGATTCAGGAGGTCAACTGATCTGCACCCTTTCATTACAACCCCTCTCCACCACTCCCCACCCCTTTCCACCCATCCCCACCAGCCCCCATACCCCTATTCCCAGCAGCCCATGCGGCCAGGCATGGTGCTACCAGCAGGCATGGGGGGAGCGCCGGGCATGGCAGGGGGCATGGGCGCACCTGGCATGGTGCCGGGGGGAGCGCAAGGCATGGTGGGGGGACCAAACCCTAACGTGTACATGCGGCAGCAGCAGCAGTACGGGGCAGCCCAAGGGGCGCCTGTGCAGGTGAGGGGGCGGGCTGTGGGGGTTAGAGCAGCAGGCATTGGGGGAGCACCGGGCATGGCAGGAGGGATGGGGGCACCTGGCATGGTGCCTGGGGCAGCGCAAGGCATGGTGGGAGGTCCGAATCCCAACGTGTACATGCGACAGCAGCAGCAGTACGGGGCAGCGCAAGGGGCACCTGTGCAGGTGAGGGCGCGGGCTGTGGGGGTTAGAGCAGCAGGCATTGGGGGAGCACTGGTCATGGCAGGGGGGATGGGATGGGGGCACCGGGGATGGGGGCGTCGGGGATGGGGGCACCTGGCATGGTGCCTGGGGGAGCGCAAGGCATGGTGGGAGGTCCGAATCCCAACGTGTACATGCGACAGCAGCAGCAGTACGGGGCAGCGCAAGGGGCGCCTGTGCAGGTGAGGGGGCGGGCTGTGGGGGCTAGAGCAGAAGGGATGGGGGGAGCACCGCGCATGGCAGGGGGGATGGGGGGAGCACCGCGCATGGCAAGGGGGATGGGGGCTGTGGTATGGTGTGTGGGGCAGCACAAAACATGGTGGGAGGACCAAATCCCAATGTGTACATGCGACAGCAGCAGCAGTACGGTGCAGCTCAAGGGGCACCTGTGCAGGTGGGTTGGGGGCATTGGGAATGGGAGCACCAGGAATGGCAGGAGGGATGGGGCCACCTGGAATGGGAGCACAAGGCATGGTGGGGGGGCTATACCCACCATGCCTTGTGCGCAGCAGCAGCAGCAGCAGCAGCAGCAATGGGGGCAGGTGCCTGTGCAGGTGCACTAAAAACAATGGGGGCAGTGGGGGCGGTGGGGGCAGTGGGGTTTAGAACAGCAGGCAGAGTGCAAATCAACTCATCATTCCCTTCCCAAATCGCGCCCCCCTCTTTCCTCCCCCTACAGCAGCAGCGGCAGCAGCGGGTGCAGGGAGGCCGCGGGGGAGGGGGCGTGCCAGGAGGGCTGGGAGGGCCAGTGCCGATTCAAGTGCTTGCAGCAGCAGTGGCATCAGCACAGCCGGAGCAGCAGCGAGCGGTGAGTGTGAGAGAAGTTATGGAGAGTGAGTGAGGAAGTGAGTGCGAATTTTGAAGTTTGAGAGCGACTGCACATGTGTTTTGGGTATGATATTTCTCTTCCCCACCTCTCCCATCAGATCCTGGGTGAGCAGCTATACCTCGTTGGTGGCACTCGAGGAGCTGGAACATGCAGGCAAGATCACTACTCTCCCCTCCTGCGCTCCTCTCTCCTCCCCTCCCTCCAACCCCAATTCAGATCCTGGGGGAGCAGCTGTACCCTCTAGTGGCGCGCCAGGAGCCGGAGCATGCAGGCAAGATCAAGGGTCTTCCTGCCCCACCTGCCCTTCTGAAGATCACGGGAATGCTGCTGGAGATGGACAAGGGGGAGCTGCTCATGCTGCTGCCCCTCCCCTCCCTGCCGATTCCCTCACCTCCCTCCCTGTTCCTCCCTGCCCTCCCTGCCCCTCCCTGTCCTCCCTGCTGTCCCTGCCCATCCGTCCCTTTAAACCCTGAACCCCTGACCCTCTCAATTCAGATCCTGGGGAAGCAGCTGTACCCCTTAGTGGCCCGTCAGGAGCCGGAGCATGCGGGCAAGATCACGGGAATGCTGCTGGAGATGGACAAGGGGGAGCTGCTCATGCTGCTGCTCCCTTCCCTTCCCTTCCTGTTGCCTCCTTCCCTCCCTGTTGCTCCCCTCTCCTCCCTCACCGCCCTCCTGCCCCTCCCTGCCCCTCCCTGCCCCTCCCTGCTCCTCCCTGCCCCTCCCTGCCCCTCCCTGCCCCTCCCTGTCCCTCCCTGCTATCCCGACCCACCATTCCCCCTATCCCAACTTGCCTCGTTTCCGGCGCCAACGCAGATTCTGGGGGAGCAGCTGTACCCATTGGTGGCCCGACAGGAGCCGGAGCATGCGGGCAAGATCACGGGAATGCTGCTGGAGATGGACAAGGGGGAGCTGCTCATGCTGCTGCAGTCGCCAGACGCCCTCCGAGCCAAGGTCTCCGAAGCTCTCGATGTGCTTCGGATCGCCGCTGCCATGGCGGCTGCGTCGACTGCGGACCAAAACTCGGGATGATAGGTTCGGGATGAGAGGCTCAGGACGGATGACACCACGTTGCTCTCGTGGCATGCTGGGTGAATTCAAGGGGCTGACTCTTGGGCAAAATACAGCGTCTCTTTGTTTTTTCTGCCCTGCGCGTCATGGCCTGAACATTTTAACTGAGTTTTAATTTTTACGTGCATTTTGATTCTGCAATGATGGTGATTGCCACTAGAGCGTGTTCACTTATCGGTGTCGCCCTATCGTTGTCGTTATTTGATTCATTCCTCGATACTGATGTTACTAACGAGATCTATCATGGTCGGGGCTCCACGCAACTGGGAACGGCTGACGTGGTTTCTAAACAATCGTCACGCCAAATCTTCGAAACGAATTGGCGCTCGTGATTCGAGCTGACGCGTCACCGCTGTGGATTTCTTGCGGCTCGGCGGAATTCTTGATACAGTACAAATCGGGGGAGACCCTCCACACCACGCAGCAGCCCCTTAGCGCAGTGGTCAGAGAGGTTCCGCCGCGCGGAGCAGGAAGTCACTCTTGAAAGTTCCGCAGTCTGGAGCTCCGCCAGTCCAATTCCGCCACCACGTTATCCCTTGAGATTGCCATGGTTGGTTGCTTGGCTGATCTGGAAGCTTGGAGAATTGAAAGGTTCATTCGACTGGGAAACTAGGCTAGGAGCGTGACTGGCTGGAGCAGGGAAAGTGAGAATCCACAAGTTCCAGTAATCCCAGTTTCCACAGCCATTTACGTTTGGCGTTCTCCCCTGCTTGGCAAGAGCAGTCAGGCCGTAGTTGTCTAATTTCCTCCGCATTTTGCTCCAAACTTTGCTGATTTCCGCTGTTGTCAGCACAGCCTTCCTATTGTAAGAGTGAAGGAAATCGACCAGCCATGGCCGCCATTGCCAAGTGCGCCGTGCCTTCATTCACCGGCCTGAGGAAGAACCAGACCTCCCAGGCTTCCACCAAAGCCTCCTCGCAGCAGAATGTTAAGGCGAAAGCATTCACCGTCCGCGCAGTTGCGGAGCCGGCCGCTAAGAAGCTGACGATCGAGGAGGCGGAAGCGCGCGTGGTCGCGGGGAACCCCCCTCCTGCTCCGGCCCCCAAGCCCCGTCCAGCAGCTCCAAAGGGAACGCCTATCGTCGAGCCGCTGGTCCGTCTCCTTAGCAGAGAATCTTGCGTTCTTGCAAATTGGCTCTTTCCTAGTCGTCGACGTCGTTTTGACGCTGTCTTATCCAATGCAGACGATAAGGCGTTCTTAGCGTAGATTGTTTGGCAGTGCGATAGTCTCCAAGTGCTGGAATGGAGGGGAATGAAGGAAGAAAAGACCGCATGGGTGGAACATAGGCGTTAAAGCTCTTGGTTTGTCACGCGTTGAAATACGAGACGCGGTCTCTAAGGTGGCTATTCTGTGCTGTGCATGGCCGGCGAACCTCATGTGGATTCCTTGTCGCAATCGTTGCTGTTAGGCAGTGATGCGTTCTAATACTTGACTTGTGCTGTGTGCGCAATCGGATGGCAGAACCTCATCTCGAGGCCTCGTCGCAACCGCCGGTCTCCGTTCCTGAGGGAGGCATTCCAGGAGACCTTCGTCACTCCCGCCAACTTCATCCTTCCCCTCTTCATCCACGAAGGTGAGTGCTAGATGGGTGCAGTTTGACGCCCTCTCATAAGAAGATAACAAAATCTTGTAAACTTCTCATGATTTGTTCATCACACCTTCATCGGATCTTCGTCCAATTCTCGTCTAGTTCTCATCAGCTGAACAGATTCTCGTCCCCGAAAACATTTTTCCATTCGTGAGAATTGCAGTGCGAACGCACTACCCTCCTCCCCTCACTCACCCCAACCCCTCTTTCCATCCCCTACCTCGCTCCCATCTCCCATTTCTAATCCCAATACATCCCCTTACTTCGCCAGGCGTGGACCCCTCTCCCATCGGTTCCATGCCAGGATGCTACCGCCTCGGCTGGAACACTGGGCTCATTGAGGAGGTGAGCAAAACGATCGGGACTAGCAGCTTTACGGTCAAGAATCGAGACTAGAAAATTGTTCCTAAGTAGTCTCTTGACTCTCCTTGCGTCCCTCGATTGTCATCAAACCCGATTCCCCCACGCATCTAACCGCCCAATGCCCTCTCATCGCCCGCAGGGGTACAAGGAGCGCGACGTGCGAGTCAATTAGGTCGTGCTCTCCTGGCAACTCCTTCGCTTCGCGTCGCTTCGCGTTCTTTCCTTGCGCTCATGTGTCGTTCTCCCCTGCCCTTCTAAACGCCATCTCGTTGCTCGCAGGTGTACAAGGCGCGTGACGTGGGAGTCAACCAAGTCGTGCTCTTCCCCAAAGTCCCCGATGCCCTCAAGGTGAGCAGCTCTCGCATACGCGTGGTCACAGGTTGAAGGTTGTCCCATCCACCCTCCTCCTCCCTCTCCCTTTCTCCATGCGGACTAATGTGCATGATTAAATAGGGTACCTTGTTGATTTGTGTCTTGTGCTGACGTGGATGTGGTTTTCCGGAACCCCCCCACCCACAATGGACGCGGTTAAATGTATCAGGTAGTACTGCCCAACTTCCTGGTCTAGCAGTCAGTTAGACTGTTCAACGTTCCAGTCTGCCTCTGCTCACAAGCTCTGAATGCATTGCCTGCATCGCCGTGAAAAAAAAAGCAGACCCCCACGGCGGACGAGGCGTACAACCCGGACGGCATTGTTCCCCGCAGCACTGACGGAACAGGCGGCTAGTTCAGTGTTCTAATGTGCCTGTGCTCACCAGCTGTAAATGCGTGCCCTGCGTTCCAATGCTTTCTTTCAGACTCCCACGGCCGACGAGGCGTACAACCCGGACGGCATTGTTCCGCGCAGCATCCGCCTGCTCAAGGACAAGTTCCCGGACCTCGTGAGTGGCCCTGAAATGCTCAGAGACGCGGCCATGCGAAATAAACGCGATCTTTCTTCTAGAATCGCAGCATCCGCCTGCTCGATGACTAGTTCCCGGACCTCGTGAGTGCTCCTGAGATCATTTGCTTCGCACCTTGATCATTTCAGGGGCACTCACCAGTGACACGTCCTCCGAAGGGTGAGCTTGAGAGCCATCAGTTCCACCTTGGCGTGTTTAATTCTCTTCAACAAGCCAAGACGTCTCTGGAATTTAATCTACTCATCAGATGCATTTTGCTCGTCCGCATTTCTCTCTCCTTCCAACACCTCCCTCTCTTTCCAACACTCTCAGTATTCTCCCGTTTTCTGTCCCCTTCCCTCCCCCCCCCCCCCCCCCAACCTCCCACTTCCCGCTTTGGTGATCTATTGTGATGCTGACGTGGCGTTTATCCAGATCATCTACACTGACGTGGCACTGGACCCGTACAACTCGGACGGCCACGATGGAATCGTGAGGGAGGATGGTGTGATCATGAACGACGAGACCGTGCACCAGCTGTGCCTTCAGGCCGTGGCTCAGGTATGCTTATATCGAAGCGGCTTACAACGAGGATGATTGGCTTGGCTTGGTAGGGAGGATGGTGTGATCATGAACGAGGAGACTGTTGACCAGCTACGCCTGTAGGCGATGGCTCAGGTACTTGAAACGACTATATCAAATCAGCTTGTAACGGGGATGGTTGGCTGGCTTGTTAGGGAGGATGGCGTGATTATGAACAATGAGATGTGGTGAGCGAGCCCCTCACGTGGTGGACGTTCGTGTGGTCACTGGTGGTACCAACACTCACGCTCATGCTACCCCCCCAGCTCCCCTCCCCCTCCCCCCCACCTCTCATCTCCCTCTCCCTTTCTTCCCCGTTCCAGGCGCGTGCATGGGCGGACGTGGTGAGCCTGAGTGACATGATGGACGGCCGTGTGGGCGCCATCCGCGGCGCTGCTCATGCTACCCCCTGTTCCCCCCTCTGTTCCTTACCGTGTTTCCTCCTCCATTCCCTCCGCTTTTCCTTCTCCCCTACCTCCCTTCCTCCTTTGTTACAGGCGCGTGTAGGGGCGGACGTGGTGAGCCTGAGTGACATGATGGACGGCCGTGTGTGTGGGCGCCATCCGCGGCGCTTCTCATGCCCTTCCCTCTTCCCTCTACCCCTCCTCTTCTCCTCTGTTCCCTCTATTCCCACCCTGGCGTCCCCTGTCTCTTGCTACAGGCACGTGCAGGAGCTGACGTGGTGAGTCCCAGTGACATGATGGACGGCCGTGTGGGCGCCATCCGTGCTGCTCTTGACGAGGAGGGCTTTAACGAGGTCTCCATCATGTCTTACACTGCCAAGTGAGAACTTTAAAGGAGAGTTACACTGCCCAAGTGAGTGTTCTAATGGCTTTAGCGAAGTCTCCATCATGTCCTACACCGCCAAATGAGAATTTAGAGGGCGGACTACACTGCCAAGCCAGTGATTAGATTGGGTTCCTACTCCTCTTGACGAGGAGGGCTTTAACGAGGTTTCCATCATTCCCTACTCTGCCAATTTCTTCCCCACATGACAGGTACGCAAGTACCTTCTACAGTTCTTCTAGGGAAGCCCTTGATTCCAACCTCCATTCTGCTGTAACCACGACCACCACCCTCAACCGATCTGCACCCCTTCTCACGCCTTTCCCCCTCCGCTCCCCGTATTTCCCCCCCGCAGGTACGTGAGTGCCTTCTACAGCCCCTTCAGGGAAGCCCTTGACTCCAACCCCCCTCTGCTGTAACCACCCACCACCCCCAACCACTCTGCACCCTTCTCCCGCCTCTCCCTCACTCCCCACACTACAGGTACGCGAGTGCCTTCTATGGCCCCTTCAGGGAAGCCCTTGACTCCAACCCCCGCTTTGGCGACAAGAAGACGTGAGTCCAGTACACACCACTGCATTGTCTGCCCCACTGCTCCCCATTGTCTGCCCCACTGCTCCCCATTGTCTGCCCCACTGCTCCCCATTGTCTGCCCCCCTGTGCCCCCTTGTCATTACCTCCCCATCCTACATCCCACCCTCTACCCCACCTACGTGCCTTTCGTGTGCGTTCTTGCTTGTTTGGTAGTATGCTTGCTTGCGCCGTGCAATTTTTTTTACCATGCCTGGCTGCTATACTTAGATGTAATTGTGTAACCCTGTGGCTCACGCCAACAGGTACCAGATGAACCCTGGGAACTACAGGGAGGCACTCATTGAAATGCATGCTGATGGGTGCTTATGTTGTCCCCATGCCTGCTGCCCATGCCTGCCGATAAGTGCTGTTGCTGCTCGTACCCCTGTTCTCACAACAACAGGTACCAGATGAACCCTGGCAACTACAGGGAGGCGCTCATTGAAACCCACGCTGATGAGAGCGAGGGGGCTGATATCCTCATGGTGAGTGATTTTCCGAGTGTTTTTCAGAGGCAGGACGGAAGGAGGATGTGATTGTAATGAGGGGAGGGGATGAGAGGCTTCGATTGTGGGGAGGGGAGGGGGTGCAATGATTGGATTTTGGGAGAGGAAGGATGAGAGGATTTGACTGTGGGAAGTCAAATAACAAATAACAAATACTGCACCATGAACCCTTCCAGGTGCCGGACGAGTTCCATGATCAACGCACTCACTCCCTCCCCTTTCCCTACCAGGTCAAGCCCGCCATGCCTTACCTGGATGTGAGTCGTCTCCTTTGTGACAACACAGCGCTGCCCATCTCACCCTGAAGGGCAGACAGTGTTGGGGAGTATGTGGTGACATGAGCCCAGACAGTCCTCACCTCTTCCCTCCCTGTGCTTCTCGTTCTGTTCTCCCCATCTCTATTCCATCCCCCCACCAGGTCAAGCCCGCCATGCCTTATCTGGATTCCATTCGTCTCCTCTGCGACAACCCATCGCTGCCCATCCCAGCCTGCATCAGCCTTCCTCTTCCTTACCGCCTCCCTTCTCGTGCTGCTCGTTCTGTTCCATCTGCCCATCCCTATTTCCCCCCCACCAGGTCAAGCCCGCCATGCCTTACCTGGATGTGATTCGTCTCCTCCGCGACAACACAGCACTACCCATCTCAGCCTACCAGGTGTCGGGCGAGTATGCCATGATCAAGGCCGCAGCAGCCAATGGGTGGCTGGACGAGAAGAAGGCGGTTCTCGAGTCGCTCCTGTGCATCAAGCGAGCTGGCGCGGATATTATTCTGACCTACTTTGCCATCCAGGCTGCGCAGTACCTGGCTGGCGAGAGAAAATAGAGGACGAACAGCTTCCATGGGTTTTGCTGTTTGTGAAAACACCTGGTTTGAAATACAAGACGAAGACACTTCTGGGAAATGGATACTGGCATTAGGAGGGATTGTTGGAATGTGACGTTGGTGTGATAGCTACTTGAAATAGTAGACATTTCCTTCAATTTCTTTCCCATCCCTCAAGGTAGCAGATTTCAGTTTATCAGAGGGAAAACCTACAGAGCTTCCCAGCGCATTATGGAGGTTATGTGATTAAAAACGAGATAGGACATTAGCGGTTGCGCCACTATGTCGAGGTGAAGGTCAAGTGCACATCTTCAGTCATCCCGATTCCAGCAAGATTTTATCGACGAACAGCCAATGGGACAACGCCCGACTCCCCCAAGCAAACGCATCAGCACCACACGACTTGTCCCTTGACCTCGCACTGTCATGCGCGTCGCACAATAGTCGAACATTTTCCGCCACAAGTAGTGGATTGATCACGTCAGGTGATCATTGTTCACCACCACAAAACCTTGTCAGGCATCGCATGACGTGGTTCTGTGAGACGCAGATGACGTGTACATCATCAGCTATCCTATTGGCGCAGTGCAGTGCAGATGACGTGTCGTAGGAAGAATCTTTCAAAGTTACCAACTTCGCAGCCCTCGTCTGAGAATTTTTTGCCAATAGGTAGTAGTCAGGAATTCGCACAGACGCGTGACGTGTCCCAGAAAGTCCGAGAAAGTGCCGAACTTCCCACCAAACTTCAGATCGTGTTCACAAACGTGACAAAACGTTCTGAACCTTCTTTCACCAGATTCAGTCAATTGAAGATATCTGATCCTGAACTTCACTGGACATAGCTGCTTCACAGTTACGACTCGTGGTCTCATACAAATAACACCCTAGAACTCCCACTTCCATTGTAGTAGAGGTCTCGTGTAGCATCAGATTAGAGTACAGTAGCAGAAAGAGGCTGGTGCTCGATGATTTCCACCCTACCCCACCCCAACCAAGCCAAGCTCAATCCAATTCATTTCAGGCGATCGCTCGCCGCGAAAGCTCTTAGAAATCTATAGTGCAGCCATCCGCTGTCTGACGATTACGCGCTGCTGGAACGCGTCAAGTCTTTCCTGCCAAGTTTCAAAGGCAGGACTATTATCACCTGCACAACCAGGCGATTCAGTCGATTCTTAGTTTTTTCCTTCGTTGTGTGGGCTGTCCGCTGGACATGCGAACTCATAACGATAGTATTCCCGAAAGCGATACCAGCACAGTCAGCAATGGGACTGGTAGCTGTGACGACAGCAGTGACAGCGACTGCAGCAGCTACAGCACCGGGGAGAGTAATGATGACGATTATGATGACGATTTCGAGTCGGAGAGTAGCTGTGCGCTGAGCTGGCAGCAGGTGATTGGTGGGAGCGACGGGGAGAGTGAGCAGGAGGGGGGGAATGGAATGGAAGGAGGAAGGAGTTGGCAGGAGGATGAAGCATGGAAGATGAAGGATGGAGAGGAGGTGAGAGAGCGGGGAGGGGAGGGGGCTGTGGACATGCGAGCAGCAGAGGGTGATGAAAGCAAGATGGTTGATTGGAGAGGGGTTGCAGTGGCAGCAGCAGCAGCAGGAGCAGCAGCAGGAGCAGCAGCAGGAGCAGAAGCTGAAGTAGCAGCAGAAGCAGGAGTAGCGATAGCAGCAGGACCAGATTTGGCAGTTGGAGCAGGGGAACAGAGAGCAGGGGCAGCAGCCATGGGTGAGATTGGAGGGGACCAGCAGGTGGATTATACTCATGAAAGAGGTGGTATCAGGTACATTCAGTGGTTGTGATGGTACTTGGTAGTGATGGGGACCGTTAGCAAGGGTAGCAGCAGCAGGTGCAGCAGCAGGTGCAGCAACAGCAGCAGCAGGACCAGCAGTGGCAGGCCGAGTATACTTATGGGAGAGATGGTATCAGGTACATTCAATGGTTGTAAATGTTGTTAATGATGGGGACATGGTAGTGAGGGTGGGGAAGAGAGGAGGGATAGGGACGAAGACAATGATGCTATTGGGAGTGAGTAATAGAGGTGGGGGAGGGCCAGGGTGGGGAAGGCGGATGGCTGCCGTTAGAGCAGAATGGAGGATAGAGGGGTCTCCCTAACAGCAGAAAGATTGCCTGCTGGTGAGATCAACCTACCAAATCCAGTTCAAGTGAGCGTACCCGTTCGAGTGTAACTCAATGAACCTTTGGGAAATGATAGAACTGATTCTCATTTCTAAAAACCACAGACATGCATTGTTAATGAAATAACAGATGGATAATGATATGGTAGATGAATGCCACACATACGGACACATACGCACGCAATCAGACGAACACACGCACGCACAGAAGGTCGGAACAAGCCAATGCAAAAAGAACTTGCGAAAAAAAAAAAAAAAAAAAAAAAAAAAAACACAGAAGACGCAAAAGATCACTACCAAGCAATACAACACAATTAGACCTAATCGCCACAAATGTGATCGTTCCTCCTTTAAAAAGGACCTTCAATTCCTGAATGGTACAGCAAAGCCTCTGAAAAGTAGAAAATAGGGAAACGAAAGGGGGGAAATGGGGAATAGAAGTTGAAGGGATATAGATGGCGACTTTGAAAAAAAAAATATCACAAGCTGGCTTTCTGAACACAAATAGCAGGGAATTGGAGTAAACAGAAAAGAAGAAAGAGAAAAAAAGTAAGAAGAAAAGTCCAAAGAGCTACACGTAGGTAAGAATGGAAAAGTACAGAACAAAGGAAAGAAGAATGATCATCGAAAGAAGGGGAGAGGAATAAAAATGCAGAGGGGGAAGATACCTCATATTCAAAATGCTAAAAGTTTTTCTCCACTAAAATGAAAGGGAACGAGCGAAAGGCTTATGAACCTTGAAAACATGAAAAGGCTAAAATCTTTAAAACTTGCATCACCTAAAAACGACTAGAAAACGAGAATAAGAAATGTTAGTCTAGATCCTACTCATCTAACATAGTTATAGTTAATAAGTTAGCATTGATCTTACCTTGATGTGGTAGGTGGAGCGTAATCAGCGGGGCATTGTAAGCTCAACTAGCGAGAGGAAGGGAGAGAGAAAAAAGTGATGATCAAACCCTAAGGCAAAGCAAACAGAAAAAATGAATGAAAAATGCAAAACGAACGGAAGAGGAACACAATATATCAATGCAAGAATAGACACTAAACCGAAGCACGAATACAACAAGCAGAGAGAAATGAAAGGGAGCGGAATGAAATGTAAGATACAAAAACGAATGAGGAAAAAGAGAAGTCTTCCAGGAAAGTAAAGAAGGAAGAATTGGAAAAAATGGACAACTCACCTAGCAACGAGTAGATGGCGTATAGTCAGGAAGCGAACTCAAGGAGGACGTCTAAGAAAGAAAGGAATGAGCAAATCTGTTTACATTGAATGCATTGAGAATGAAATGTGAGGAGTAATGGCGACGGAAATGTGAAGAGCATAGTTTTCAGATATTAAGACAAGGCGAAAACGTTGATACGGTAGCAAGAAGTGAGAAGCACGCACTAGTTAAGAACAAACTAGTTGCTTAGTCGAAATGACATCAATCCTTAAAAAACGATCTAGCTTTAGAACGGTCAAGGATACGAGATTAAGAAACGTTAAATTAAAGAATAATATATAAACTAGTTGATAGCTAACGTTGAGGTTATCCTCACCTTTGTGTGGTAGGTAGGAGCAGAGTGACTAGTGGCAGTAAGCTAGCTGCAGCGGCGAGAGGAAAGGGGAGAGAAAAAACACGACACAAACGGGGAGAGAAAAAACACGACACAAACCCTAAGCTAGTGCTGAGTTCGTCGCATCAAAGGGTTAAAGAAACTAAAACTGACAGATCAAGACAGCGATTTTAGCTTAGTCGGTTGAGATCAGGGTGGGCAATCGAAAGGTCCAAGGTTCGAACCTTGCAGTTGGACTTTTATGAACACATTTCAAATAGCTCGAAGTACACTCACTTTCATTTCAAACTAAAAAATGATGATTGTAGTAAAGCAAAATGCTTCGCAACCCTAAGACGATTTAGTCGCCTCTTGTTTTGAATGCGTCTGACTGTTCCGAGCCTCCCCTCGTGTGACCTCATGTGGACACGAGCTAGGAATGAGTCCTAAAATACAGGTGTACTGTACAGACAAGACTTCGGGCATCCACAAGTTCTTGTTGTTTCGCCACAATTGGATCCTGCCAGAGAGTATAGCTTCTCTGGCAGCCGGGAAGAAATTACTGGGGCATTTGACGGATAAATTTGTGTAATGCACCGATTTCTTGATCAGGGCTCAGTTCGGCAGCCACGGAAGAATGACGGAATCAAAATGTTTCCTTCTTCTACGAAGCTTCCAATCGCATTAACGGGGGCAAAACAGTGCGGGCTGTAGGGTAAAACTTTCAGAAATCGACGCGCAGGTTTTTAACAGCAGCGACGCGAATAACGTCAAAAATTTATTCCGCGCCGTCTTCTGTCCTTATTCTCCCCTCCTGGCGGAAAGCTTCCGCCCTAGTGAGACGGAAGAAGAAAGTGATTCTTTGAAAACATAAGAATCAACTTTTTGATTCCACATGAATTTTCGTTTACGGGACAACATTGCGCCCTAAAGAGGCAAGGGTTATGCACACAGAAAGTCTAATTGATAGGTTTTTTGTAGCAGGGTTTCCCCTACAGCGTGCTTGTCAACCCTTTTTTTTGTTTGAGGCGGGCCTTTCTCATCCCGCTACAGTGATCTTGGGCATGCGAAATTGAGGGCAATTGTGCCTGCACCTGCGGCGATTTTCCATACCTCTTCCCTCCACCCTGCGCCAGCTCTCAGGTGGCGCAGGTTTTCCGCAAATTCGCGGAAAAATGGGTCAACATGCGTTGACCCTGGGATGACGCCCACCTTACCTTCCGAGCATTTTCCGAACATTTTTCTTCCCCCTGGCTGCCGAACCGGGCCGTGGGCCCTGGAAACATTTTGATTCCGTCATTCTTCCGTGGCTGCCGAACCG